AAACGAATACTAATTAAAAACACAAAATGAAACTGTCAGACAGGTTATTATACTTATCACTGAATCAAAAACTCAAACATGCAAGGTATAATATAATTGGCTGAGCTGAAGACAAAGGGATGACATATATATAGTAAGCACAGACATGGATACAGACAGCAGGATAACGTCCAAAAATTTCAAACATGTGTCCTCAGAAAACTCACTGTACAAGACTGTCCTCACAAATGTTCACCTTGAATCTGGGCCTATAGACTAGGAAAGCCTATGATGATGGCCAAGCTACCAACCTAGGGCTCAACCAATCAACCAGTCACCTCTTTTAGCTACCACATGAAGATAATAATGAGGAATTCTCACACATAAATAATTCCTTAGTCAACTAAACGTAAAACTATAAAGACACTAAAATGTAATAATTCTCTACCTTTCAACATGCTCTTGATCCACCACCAGCCACTCGTAGTGGTTTGTTTATATAATCAGCTGATCTGAGCTAACACGTTCATCACGGTCTAATCTTGTGCCATAAGAACTGATATATTTTTATTAATATTTATGAACATTTTTAACTCTTTAATATGACCAAATCTATATCAGTTAACAAAAAAATTATGCCTTTTACCAAATCACATCTCTTATTTGTTTAAGTTTGCAGCTCTAAGCCGAGAGAGTGTGTCACATTTTGGTCCAATAAGGATGTGCATAAAAACAAGTTGCAAAACTTATCAAATGCCAAAAAATTAACAGTTATCTAAATTTGAGGCCCCCTTTGAGCTTGAGGCCCAGGCCAAATAACCCTCCTTCCCCCCCCCCTCCCATTGGCCCTGGCTGGGATATGGGGGTGGACCTTGCCCTGAGGGCTGGCTGAACCACTCTCAATGCTCTAATATGTGTGCCACAATCTGAGGGGCCTGTGCCTATCTACACAGGTTGGACCCCGCTTACGTAAGTCAGACTGGGAGGGAGCTTGCCCTTTGATGAATGTCTGAGGTGCCCTCACTGTCCCCAACGTAAGCCAGGGATCTTAGGAAGTCCTGTCCTTTCGTGTGGGGAGCTCAGAACAGTCAAACTCCATGTATACTACAGGCTCCACTCAAGAGGAGGGTGGGAACATCTGTGATAAATGGAGTGGTTCACAAATCTCTGAGCTATTGATTGAGGTTATATTAATCTCCATGGGGCTCATCCTGTAATCGGAGTTAGTTTAGCCCCAGTCTCTCTAGCAGCCCAGGGGACAAGTCACCCTGTTACACACAGGAACAGAGAAAGGTGGCATTGGTAACCTTCTCCGAACCTTTTGTCCTTTAACAGTGGTAGATGGAATCTGTGGGTGAAAGTGAATAGGTTGTAAAAGGACCATAGTGACCAGGGTGTGGGTGACATTTTGCCTAATGGTCAGGGCGGAAGGGAGGCTTAAGGTCTGAAACAGAGCCAGGCCTAATGGTCAAGTCAGGAGCCAACATATAAAGTCCAGGAACTAAGCTGAGAGCCAGAAACCAGGAGTCAGGTATTGGAGCCAGAGTACCAGAATCAGGGACAAAGAACCAGGAGCAGGAAACCAGGAGCAGAAGCAGGGACAAGGAGCAGGCACGGGGAGGGGAGGGTCCAGAGTGAGGGCTAGGAGCAAGAAGGGAGCCAAGCACAGGAATAGGAAGCAGGACCAGAAACACAGCTGTAGACTTGGAACACTATTGAGTAGCCAGAGTCCCAGGCCTGCTACAGGTGCCTGCTGGAGTCTTCAGCTAATCAGGTGCCAGCTTCATTAGCTGAGGGCAATGAGCCAAGTCTGGGCTCAGCTGTGTGTCCCTAACAAGGAGATGAAAATCTTGTACTTTTCAGCAACTGTGGGAATGGCAGAGTAAGGGCATGTTGGGGCATTACCGAAAGAGGGCAGCATTAAGGTTGTGTGGGCAATCTTAACAGTGTATTTCCTGGTTTTCAGAAGTTTGAGTTTTAGTCAGCTCAGTGTTCTGCAAGGGGTATACATACCACCAAGCAACTTTAAGTCTGTTAGTTTTCAGTGGCCAAAAAAAAAAAAAAAAATTGCCTTACATAACCATCCAAGCAACCAAAAAACTGGCTAAGATATGCTGCTCATTAACTAAAGATTGAATAATATTGTACTGAAAACCCTTGGAGTACTTAGCGTGCTCAGGGAAGCACATGGTTGCATATTGGAGATGATCCTTAAATGTATAGGTTTTAGTATATTAGAGATGATACAGATGCCCTGATTTCTGTTCTCCCAGGGATTACCGCAGAATAATACTGGTGTATGAGAGACCTTGAAATACTGTAGATGTACTTTTCTATAAATCAATCTATTTAATGAAATACACATATATTTTAAAGAAATCTTACTTGCTATTTGAAAAATAAACTACAGGTGTTGTTACTAAAACAATACACCAAACATAATTGGTGACATAAAAAAGAACATTAACATTGTTCTTAATTATTCATATTAGTTATCAATTCAATCATCTCCCAGGAGAATACGGATCATTAGGAAAGGAAAGAAAACCATACCTGGCACTGTAATGTAAAATACACAGCACTAATTACCTTATTTTAAACAAAGAGCTAGGTTTTAGTTTTGTTTTTGAACAAAATCAAGCACGATTAAAACTATCAGACTCTAGAACTGATTCACTTGCATATCCAGTTAAACTGGGTTTTTGTGGCTCAAAGTAACTGGCCCTCTGGGGAGCCTCCCTAGGTAAAAGAAGTTACTGGGAGGCAGAGAGAGCCATACAGGCTCCTATTCCATCCTCTTAGTTGAGCTAAACATGTATCAATTTAAGCCTGTGCATAAATGTTTGCAGGCTCATGGCCCCAGTGTAGTAACTGGATCCTTGAGCAGAGGTCAGTGGCCCTTTCTGCATTGCTCTGTAGAGGTGGACACAAACCCTCACCCTATCACATAGATTTTTGTAACCCTGGCCCACGTCAAGTGACTGGGATCATGAAAAAAATAAGTCTTTCCAGAAATCTTGTGCAAAGAGCTGGCCTGAGAATTGTGCAGAGGCTTAATAAAATAAGTCTTTGACAAGCACTCCATGGTTGGATGGCTCACCTCGAAAGAAAGAGAAAGAGTAATGTGAGTTGGGGATGGAAATGTGTAGTGCCTCCCCTCTCAGGATTTTGCTGCAGAAGAAGTGGAGAGTGGGTACTTGTACCGGGGTCCAGGTTAGCACTTAAAAACATTTGCAAGAGATAACTGTCTGAAAGCTGAGGTTCTGAGGGTTTCTAGATTCCCAGCAGCTGGAGGGCTTTGTGTAAGTTTTCAGGACTTACATGCACCAACATTAACTACTTAATTATCACAAGACCCCTTTGAAGTAGGTATTATCCCAGTTTCACAGATGCAGAAATGAAGGCTAAGAACAAAATCATCAAACTTGATTGTATAAAGTTAGAGAGCTACATTTATATTTAGGCGCCAATATAAAAGTGGCAGAATTTTCAAAAGTTCTCGCTAAAGCTGAAGTTAATGGGAACTGCAAGTGCCACACATCTGGATTTAGTACATCTGACTTGGTAAATTTTGGTCCATGTGACTTGACTTGATTAAGACCTCAGGGAATGCTTCAGAGCTCAAATTAGTCACATCCTTAAGCCACTACATAGCCTTCCTTGGTATTGAGCTGCCTTTCATTGGAGCCAAAGGTCAGAATCGCTGCCAGATTCTGGTGAGCTTGTGGGGGCTGTGGCATCATCCGTTGTTGTCTGGGCAGCACCAATACCTCCAACAACCTTCCCATGCCAAAAAAAATAATCAAAGAATATCTGACTATAGTTTTTCTGGAGTCCAAAAGCCAGCCTGAATGACTGTGGAAAAATTTAAAATCAGGGACAAACTTTCAATGCTAGTACTCCAGAGGCACTGCTTTATTCTTTTAAAGTTATCTTACTAAGAAAAAGGGATAGAAGCTTTTTTTTTTCTTTTTTTAAAATGAAAGCTATGATTCACCTTTACATTTAGGCATGGTAGGGCTCAGCATCAGCCATAGGCTCTGCAGGCTCATAAAGGCTGGATCTGACATCACAGAAACCATCATCCTATGGGCATGATAGGGTGTTCTTGTTTCCACTTTCAGCCAAGAAAGTCTGAATAGGCTTGGAGATTGAATTACCCTCTCATCCCAAAAAGGTGGTCCCTCCAGAGCAGACACATTGATCAAATCCTTGTATTGCCAGTTTTTCTATGGCTACTTCAGTCTCTAGGGTTGTTAAACCAGAAAGTTTCCTGATTATGCACGCGTGCGCACACATACACTTTTCTGGAATTTGGAAAGAAAAATGAGGTGCAGCTGTGGGACCCTCCGCTGAAGACAGACACACACTTAGGCCGTATTTTAAAGAGGCTGATAGCTCATTTAGAATCAGCAGAACTTCAAAACAAAACAAAAAAGTAGTAAAGAAAGAAAAATACAGAACTTTGCAGTTGCCAACAGCTAAGAATGATTTTGTATGAATGAGACAAAGTGGGTGAGGTAATATCTTTTATTGGACCAATTTCTGTTGGTGAGAGACACAAGCCTTTGAGCTTCACAGAGCTCCTTCTCAGGCTGAATGAGGCTTTGAGCAGATTACAGTGAATGATCATTTACATTACACAGATTTTAGGCTTTATGAATCCATCTTCTGACTGACTGAAGAGAATGGGATTGTGATGTTCTGCAACTCCAACAGCATAAAACCTTTTGTGAGGACTAGAAATCAGTCTTTTTCTCATTCCAATCATACCTTGTTACATTTCATAAGAAAATGGTGAGGAGAGAATGGTTGGTGGTATTAGCAAACAGAAATTTGGATTGATATTTCCCACTCATATAATATCATAGGGTTCCATTCTGCAGCTACTCCATACATCACAGGCCCACAAGTGAGAAAAGAGAAAATAGAAAATGGGGCACTTTCACAAGCATGCATTTTTGATAGCTGTATTACTCACAAGTTATGAGACCACAAATGACTTACGCAGGTCAACTTAAACCAGTGTTAATAAAACCTTTATTAGCCTTCTCCCTCCCATACATACACTCCATGTGCCACATGTTACAGAAGAACTAGATTAGGAATATTCAGGAGCATCTTAAACACTTATTGGTACTTTCTCCAGGCTCCTTTAGTCACCCAGTTATATGCCCAATGGAGGCAGACTTTTGGCATGGCCTTCAATGACAGCAGGTTTATACCTTGATTTACCAGGAGTCCTACGATACAGGGCTCAGGAGGGAGAAGAAAGTTATGGCTTCAAAAACAAAAAACCCCACCCTCTAAATATTACCTAAAGTACTTTTTCCATATACAAAAAATGTCAGACTATAAAATCAGTTATCTTGACTCTTTGCAGGGCTAGCATCAAGTGCTATGCATCCTACTGAGACTATCCCCTTTCCAGAGGAATAAAACTCCTATAATTCAGTCTCCTGGGCCATGAGATATTAGACTGTAACCGATGATGGACTGAATATTGCCCATTGGAAATATTGATCAGGCAGGCTGATTTTTAAAAGACGGTAACAGTTTAAAAATGCTCCTCCAAGTTTAAAATGTTAAAATAAATCCACAGGAGACGGATTAGTAGACAGAGCACAGGAAAAGTTTTCAAAGCTATAAAGTCTGTATCACCTAGCTCTGCAACTTATCATGCAGATATTCTCCATACAGTATATATGGTGTATATGATCTATATAATAATCTGTATTTTAATAAACAGCTAATGTAATAACCTATTGCAACAAAAGAATAATTTTATTTAGGGTGAAAGTAACTCATCTGCTTCTCTCAGATATAGTCAATAAGAATCCCACAGACGCATCCAAGGACAGAATTTGAAGTCTGATGGGGAAAATGGGCTGAAAACCACCTGAGTAAATATCACTGGACTTATTGTTCCTTTAAATATAGGATAATCAGCTGAGTATGAGAAAAGAAAATCTGTTTGATACAAGCTCTAAATACAGCCTTCCCTTTACACTCAAAATGCTTTACTTTAAATGGCAAAATTAAATGTTTCACAAACATCAAACAGTGCATATATGAAATACTGAAATGTTAAAAGAAAATTATTCCTTTTGCCCATGACTATATTTCATTAAATAAGACAGATTTGAGGGATAGCAGAACTCTTGTATTTTTTTAAACTAGTATTTATTGGATTGATCAATATTCTCAAGACTACAGGGTAATTTTCAGGGGGATGTGTATGCACTGCAGGTGTAAAAAGAAGCCTAAAAACTATATATACAATACTTACTATTTTCAACAAATGGCACTTTATAGCAAGAAATCTGTAAGTCTAATTAAGAGAGCAGAAAGAATTGGTGACACTAAGAATGCAGTCATCTATTTGCATAAGAATGGAGCTCAGAAAAGCCAAACTGCCCTTATTGGTTAGAGAGCATACAATTGAATGGAGAATGGGTATGCCAGCACAGCAACTCATTACAGTTTATAATCTTGATTACAGTTTAAGTACCTACATGGGGAACAGATATTTAATAATGGGCTCTTCAATCTAGCAGAGAAAAGTATGAAATGATCCAATGGCTAGAAGTTGAATCTAGACAAATTCAGACTGGAAATAAGGCATAACTTTTAAACTAATTTACCACTGGAACAATTTATCAAGTGTTGTGGTAGATTCTCTCCATCACTGACATTTCAGAAATCAAAATTGGATGTTTTCCTAAAAGATATACTCGAGGAATTATTTTTGGGAAGAAGTTCTATGGCCTGTGTTATACAGGAGGTCAGACTAGATGATCACAATGGTCCCTTCTCGCTTTGGAATATATAAATCTACTAATGGAAAGGGAGCCTAAAGTAAATATTGTGTACACATCAAAATACTGAGGAATAAAACTAACCCTATATCACTTTGAAAACATTTTCTTCATATGGTTAGGAAGAAATGAGAAGTATTTCCCCCCTCATAACAAAGCAGAGTTAGCCACTAAAAAAATGTTAAGAGGAATGTATAGGAGAGTCAAATCATCCCCTCTGCAGCATGGGTGCATTGTGTGGGATAAGGATACCCATATCCCTGTAGCGTTCTTGCAAAATCAGCAAGTACCTCCTAGGAGGCACTGAGGGCCATATTATTAAATATCTCAGGTCCCCAAAAATGCAGATAGGAGCCTAAATACCTTTAAAAATCTGGCCCTCAGATACTAAAGTGAAGGAGGCTAGGCAGAACCTTGACAGTGAGACAGAGCAGCCAGAATGAGGCCTCTTATGGAAGGGGAAGCTTGACTGAAACAACACAGAGGATAGATTTAGGAATGGGGCATGGCCATACTCCTTCCCCTGCATACACAATGGGTTGCAGCAGGAGGACTATTCTGAACAGTGTACGGCGAGTGTGGTCCTTCCCACATGTATCTCAAAGAAATATGCATGCTCCTACCCTCCACAAGGCTAAGCGCCCCTAGACAAGGCATGCACCTCTTCCTACCCCAAAAGCAGGTATGGTTTTAATAATCTGAGCAGAGTCCACAGAGTTTACTAAACCAGAGTATTTGAATTTTAAACACATGGTGAGAAAATGATATTTTAATATGTACCATTTCCTTAGTATTAGCAAAACTCAGCTTTCACTTTTCACAATTTTTTAATAGATGCAGACGGTGTGGCATGAATGTAAGGAAAAATGAATTGTTAAGACACTATTTAGGCAAATAAATTGATTTATGCCTGTTAATAAGCAAAAGGCAGTGAACAGCAGTGTATGAAAAACTTTTCCCTTCTTCTTCTTCTTCAGAACATGATACATGCAGTAAAGCCAGTTTTAAAGGCACACTGCACAGTTAAACACGACTGTGAACACCAAAATTCTCCAATCCTTCCACAGATGGCATCAGGAAATGTATTTCTACACTATAGCTGGGAGTGAGCCTCCGAGACCAGGTAGACAGACTTGAGCTAGCATGCTAAGAACAACAGAGTGGATGTTGTAGCTCTGGCAGAGGCTCGGGCTAGCAACCCGAGCTTGGCCCCAAGGGACTGGATGGGCTGGAGAGCCCAAGTTGCTGCCTGAGCAGCAATAACCATGCTGCTATTTTTAGCACACCAGCAAAAGCCTTACTAGCATCAGTCTGTCTGCCTGCACTGGGAAGCTTGCTCCCAGCTGCAGTGTTGACATATCCATATTGTGTTCAGGTACCACAGACACAGTGCAAGAATGTTCATCCATCTATCTAAGCACTTTAGAAAGATGGATAAACATTGTTAATCCTATTTTACAGATGGGGAAAATGTGGCAGAGGAACATTAAGTGACTTGCCCAAAGTCATGTAAATCACTGGCATAGCTGGTGTTATATGGTCAGCAGGCTGTTTAAGAAGAGAAGAGGTCAGCCCTGGCTGTCACCAGTCTAGTCTAATTTCCTCCCTGGTCATAGCACTGGGACTCCACAGAACATGTGACTGAAACACAGGAATAGATTTCCTTTAATAGATGGCTCTTTAATCTAGCAGAAAAAGCCATAACAAGGTCCAATGGCTGGAAATTGAAGCTAGACAAATTTAGTTTAGAAATATTTTTTAAGTGAGAGTAATTAACCCTTGGAAGAACTTACTTTGGTGGATTCTCTGACATTTGAAGTCATTATTTAAAGACTCATTTTAGAGAAAGATATGCTAGAAGTTAAACAGAAGTTATGGCTTTGGTGCAAAAAGTACTTAACGAGGTTCTATGGCCTGTGCTGTGGCCACGATACAGAATATGTCAGAGTAGATAATCATAACGTTCCTTTTTGTCCTTAAAAATCTGTGAAGTTCTGCCAAGGGCCAGCTGCCATTATCCTAGCCCATGACTGTGCAGAGTCAGAGAGGGAGCAGCAATGGAACCCTGCAAGGAGCTCAGCTGAAGAGGCCTGAGAATTGGCTAGGAAGTTGTGTTGAAAGAAGACAGGCAAAAAGTGAAGTAGAACAATAACTTCACAGGTTTGGAGCCCAGATTGGAAAGGGAGGTCTCAGGCTCCCCCGTACCTCAATCACCACAACTTGATGATCACCTGTTCTGTTCATTCCCTCTGGAGCACCTGGTATTGGCCACTGTCGGAAGACAGGATACTGGGCTAGATGGATAAGACCAGGTAAGCACTGGAATAAATTACCTACGGAGGTTGGGGAATCTCCATCATTGGAGATTTATAAGAGCAGGTTAGATAAACACCTGTCAGGAATGGTCTAGGTAATATATAGACCTGCCATGAGGCCAGGGGACTGGACTAGATGACCTCTGAAGGTCCCTTCCAGTACTATGATTCTATGGACCTTTGGTCTGACCTAGTATGGCCATTCGTATGTACAGGGAGCAAACTGACTTTCGTGCCAGAAGGACTATTGAGAGAGAGCTGGAAAAGGATTACTGAGGCCAGAAGGGGGCTAGCACACTTCATTGTTTACTGGAGCTTTTGGTTTGCCCCAGAAGACTTTGGTTGGAGGGCCAATGCTCCCAACTCACCCTACAAACATGGGGAAGACCCCAATCTGCTAAAGGGAAACTGAGGCCACATTTATACTAGCATGGGTACTGTGGCAGTTATGATGCGGCAGTTTTGCCGCTGTAGCATTGTAGCGTAGATACTTGCTATATTGACAGAGGAGGGGTTTCCATTGATAATAGGTGATGATAGGTAATCCACCTCTCCGAGATGCAAGAATTCTTCTGTCAACTTAGGTCAGCCTAACCCCCACAGAAGATGCAGCTAACTACTTTGCACAGAGTGTGAAATTTTTCACAGCCCTGAGCAATGTAGCTATGTCGATCTAATTTTTAAGTGTAGACGTGGCCTGAGGCATAGCAGCACTGGATGTCAGGAAGTAGGCTGTATGTCACAGTGGATATTAAAACTTAAGTTTCCTGACTCCCAGTCTGGTGCCCTATCCACTGGACCATACTGCCTCCATATGCATAGTATATGTTCAGTTATTTATTACTTGTTACTGGTGAAACTCCACCATGTGCTAGGTACTGTACAAACACAAGAGAACATGGGTCATATCCCAAAGAACCTACACTCTTTAAAAAAAAAAAAAAAAAAAGGTATATATAAAGGAATTCTATACATCCCCCAAAAACAAGACACTGAGGAAAGAACAATTATTCTATTTTGGTTACCTTATTAATTGTGCAACGCTGTTATGTAAAAATTGTTGTTAAATACAATATAACAAACCCCATTGTAGAATCAGCATTCCATAACATACAAGTCAGGTAATGTAGCTGAGCGCAATGTTACATAAATACTATGAAAAAGCTCAAGATTCAGTTAATAGGACAGATTTATCACTTAATTACCAGTGGTAACAAGAATCACAATGGCAAAAGTTATGAAAACCATGTAGCAGTGAAAATCTCTCTAAATATTTGGAGATCGCTCAATGTAAGGGAGAAACATGCAGATTATACTGTATAACCTGAATATCCCAGCTCAAACACTGGATTTTTCCAAGAACTGTAACCTGACTAACTATAACTTGAATGTACAACTCTAGTCAGAGTATCTTTTTCCCTGCAGTAGCAGGCCCAAGGGCATGAACTGGATGACTTAAATGGGCTCACCACCATCTTACATGAACAGGCGAGTTCCACATCTGTGTCTTGATGAGGTAATACAAAAGGAGCCTCTACTATTGACCCATGATTTTTAGATGTAACTGCTGTGGACAACTTACTTTTTAAAAGATTGACTTTTTTTGGTGCTTAAAAAGGCCTTCAAACACTCATTTTTTTACGACATTTATAAATGCATACTAAAACTCTTATCATAGTTTAGCTGAAGAGGTTGGTTCTTACAGCTTCATCCATGCTGAATCATATCAAATACCTAATTTTTTAAATCCGTTTATCTAATCAATTGACATCCACAGATCTGATTCAGGCTGTTTCCAATCTTCTCCCATTAACACCTTCAGGTTAAGTGGTTTGAAAAATTCCAAACGATGGCTGTAAATAAAATGGGGAAGGGGAAAATTACTCAGGGTATGAGATTTGTTTCTTTACACTCAGAAGTTAAGAATAAAAATGGTTGCATATCTGTAAAAATAATTTAATATTTATTTTCCTGAGTTCTTGGACAGTGACATAACCAGTGTTCTCTTTATTTTCCATACTCTGTTTTGTGAGAACTAGATCTAATAAATTAGGAATATTGTAGAGCTATGTAAGAAGACTTCAACAAATCTTGCATTGAAAATATAGGTCCAAATCCATAGCTACAGCCAAGCAGCACACAGCACATATTGGGTGTAAAGTTAGCTTGCATTAAGCTCACCTTTAAATTCCTGCACTCTTTGGGCTGCTGTGCACTGGGCCAGTTTCCAAACTTAAGTTAAAGCTCCCTGATGGCTGATCTAATGGACACTGGCTGCTAATGGAGGCTGAAACTGCACTTGGTAAATCAGTCCGGTAAAAAGGGAGACGCACTTCACCCCTTGCCTCCAGCCACATCTTCCATGTTAGCAGTAGAGAGGGAATCTGATGTAGGACCCTGACTATTGGAGGATCACCGCTGTCCCTGGAATGACCCTCTCCTTGCCTGTTATGCTGGCTCTATGTCCAGAATCCACCAGTGATGTTACTTAAAGCTCAAGATCTAGCCCAAAGACAGTACTTAACCAGGTTTCTCCCTCCTTCCCCCTCCCCAAATAGGCAACAATGAAAATGATGGAAACACTGCTTATTTCCATTACTTTATTAATTATTATTATTAATTTACTTTTAGAGCCATGGTGGGGTAGGAGAAATGATTGGAGAGGATTAGTAAACATGAATAGGGCATTTGGGAGGAAAAGGAAAAGAGGAAGAGGACATCAAAGGCAGAAAAAAGCACAGAGGGAAGGAAAATTAGGCTGGTATAAAAGGGATGGGTACATAGGGATTGAAATCTCCCTTTCCCATTTACACAAGAATGAAATTAAAGCTATGCATAAAATCCTGATTAAAACCCTGTAAAAAGCCTTCCTTGGTGCATCCCTTTGGGCTACTCTACTGGAGCATTAGAATACTAGATGTCTTCTTTCCATTACATATGCTGTAGTCATAAGTACCAGCTAGTAAATCATGTAATACAGCTCACACTATGCTAGTATCACATAACTGTTAAAGGGAAGGATTTTTTCCCCCTCTTTTCAAATAACCTTTGATCTTTCTTCACTTGATTTAACCCTGAAGAGTCAAAAACCAATAGTAAAGACGAATTACAAAGCAAAACTGAAATTGGAATAAATCTATTTATATGCTGAATGCTCCCCCATACAAAGGTTTGGGGAGAATTCACACAAATATTGTTAGATATTCCATAAATTCTTTCCTTCCCCCACAAAATCCTTCTGGCACTCCCTTGTTTGCTGCAAAAGATAAGGCATTCTTTTTAAACACCACAAATACCAGAAGCCTTATTGCACAGAAGTAGCAATTAGTATTATAACCCAGTTCATCGTTGTCTGACTTCACTTCATGGTCAGGGCAATAAATAGGCCCAAAATGGAATCCGGGTGAGGTCATGCTTGTCTCTTTTTCTGTTGATGATGTCTGTTTTTTTAATATTACAATCTCTTTCAACTGATTTAGTCAGTCCCCCTTTACTGCAATCAGTTCCAAAATGAGAAACTGGGCCAGGGCTGTCATGAACAGTAAAGAAGAAACAAAGCAGGTCCACTGGAGATGCATATAGTAAGATTATTACTGGTTGGCATTTCAAAGGGTGCTCTAGGCAGGAAAATGTGGGACAATCAAATTATTGATCTTGTTGAGAACTGTGATGAAATAGATGCCACTGGTGTTGAAAGTATAATTTGCTATGCACTTAAGGGATAGCAGTAAAAATCAACCTCTAATTACAGCTATTTGCCACAGAACTCTTTACACACAGGAGTGCTTGCGGAACTGGTGCTTAGCAGCATAATTAAAGCACTAGGATGGTAGTCTTAATTTTATAACTAAATTAACTCCATTTTACAAAAATTTCTCCAATACTCCTATTATATATTGTGATGCAGATGAGGTAATTTTCTACTTACAAATCAGGTTTCTGTCCTTTCTGTATTTCATGCTGAGGCACAGGGTAAAGTGCTTCATAAGTTCTCTTTGCTTCTGACCCATGAATTGCAAATGCATTAAACTTGTCAGTGCATGGTGGAAAATATCTCCAAGGAAGATGAGCTCTGCCTTCCCATTTGGTCTCTGTTCTGGACACTTCATATGTTAAAGCAAGTTCTTGCTATGTTAGAGCAATAAAAAAGCAAAAGAAAGGCAGTTGTTTCCTATTTGCTTGAAAGATAAAGATCAACTAGATACTAAGAAAGGATGTTAATTTTCCACACTTTTATGGAATGCGTTTTATCACTTACTTTCCATACTCTTCTTCTGCCAGAAAGCAACAGCAATAAATGTTGTCCATGGCTGACCATATTAAAATAGAGCAACAACGTTATTCAGCTGAAGTAAACTATTAGTATATTCCTATATTCACATATATGTATGACTTCCCATTACATCTCAGGGCTGAAGTAGCTACCACAACTGTTCTATTCCCTACCACACCTCCACAATTGTGTGTGTCTGAGTGAACATTAGAAATGCTAATATAATGGCATTGAAAATGTAAGGTGACACATTTTAAAAATAGAAAAGCACCGTACTTACGGACAGAGTTCAACTTCCAAGTACCGCTTAGTTGTCTCACTCAAGAAAAATGCTTCAACAACTGAAAAACAAACAAAAAAAACCCCCATACACGCCATCAATATAATATGGTAATTATTTATTCTGTTCCGCCTCTGAACTTCTCACTAAATACCTTTTTATGCAGAATCGTAACCTACAATGTTCTAGAATTCCACTTATTGTACCTATGCCATCAGCAGTTTGTAAGCTATTCTGAGCAATATGCTACAATCATCATTTAGAACGGCAATGCTTAGCTGATTAAAAAAAAAAAAAAAAAAGGTCACCAGAAGGAGCTTTATTAAGAAAAAGCAGCAATAAAGAGGTTATTTTGATTTTGCTTTGTTCTATCTAACTACTGGGTCTCAAGCTGGAGTCAAGGGGAAAAAGAGTTCTGCTAACTGATGTTAGCGGTCAATGGGACAAAAGTAGCAACAGCTCAGAAGCACTTCACTTGTGATGCCTGCTGTGAGTGAAATTGGTTAAGACTTAGTGATTGTAGTCAATTGCACTCACAGTGGACATCATAAGTAAAGCACCTAAGTGCAGGAACCTGGCACTTTGAATTTCCAATCTACTGGCTTGAACATAAAATAAAAGACAAGAAAGAAAAAACCCACAGGTGTACACATGCACGCACACAAAGATTAAGCTGCACGCAGAGGCCTATCATTAAGACCAGCTGAAGCAGGAATCCTGGGAGGAGGATACAAACAGCCAAGGAATAAAATGTTTGGACTGTAAAAGCCATTAGCTTTTCTGGAGGATGACTGACTCTGGAGATAGAAGTAGTGTTCTAAGGCAGCAGGCATACTTGGAAGCAAGCTGCCCTTGTTGTATCACCCTTCAGGAGAAGTTTATGGGAAAGTGTATGATAAGGGAGAGTCTCATGGCCTGAATACCGCACCACTTTCAAATTAGCAAAGAACGTTAAATATGAATCTTGAGGTCATTTATTGCAATGTCAGAACAAAGTATAGTGCACTCTCACCACAATGTACTTTTTCAGAGCAAGAAATAGAAGCTATTGATTTCGGCTATAGAAAGGAATAAATACAATTTACTATCTGGTTATTAAATTATTTTGGTTGTATTCTGCATTAATCTTGACTTTTTAGATGTAATGAATTTTGTGGGTGATGGGTGTTAACTTTTTGGTAGATCACTAGTATTAGTGCTTTGATAATCACAACAGAAGATGGAGCATGGCTGTAAACATAACAGACTGACCCATTCACAAGAGCACAACTGAAAAAGGAAAAAAAAAAGAATGACATACAGAGAAGAAGAAACAACAGCACTGTTGTAAAAACAAATTTTGGGATAGGCATAATTTTGCACTGAAGATTACATGAACTAATAAAATTTCCCTGTTTTCACATAATGTGTGTGGGGTCAATTTTGTTGGGCAGTAGCCTCCTGCAAATTTATTATCTCTCAAATAGATTCCCATCAGAAGAAGTTCAATAACTGCTGAAAAGAGTTATCAAAATTTGCCAGTTACTGGTTTACAGTTTAAACTATTACTGGTTTAAATTGAGTTGTCTGTTTCTTTAAGGAAGGAGTACAATCTTCATTCATTAGGATTAACACAATTGCCACTTTATCTGTACATTTCTAAATATATACCCCCCTCCTCCCATCTTTAGGATGCGACATTACTTGTCATTCGAGATCTCATGACTATCCCTCTATACTACACCCCATCCCTCTACACTTTTTAATAACAAAAATCAAATATTTTTTAACTAAACAAATCGCATTTCTACACTTTTAACAGGAACAGTGGCGTTAATTCCACTGTGTTGGAAAAAATCTTATTTAGGTATTTACACTCTGTTTGCCTCATATATTCATATGTTTCAATTAGATAACATATTGATCACTTCCTTTCCCAAACTAATGTAATTTGTTGTATGTTCTATTAAACAACTACCCACGACTCTTTGTTCCAAGGTTGACTGTATTTCTATAATGAGAGAATTGATTTATATAGATACAGACAATGTAAAGTTTGTAAGTTGCTTCAGGAACTTTCTGAATGCAAGGTGTCATCATAAATAAGTAGTCATTAGTAGTAGTGAAATGTCTTCTTGAACACTCAACATATTAAGGGAAAAAAGAATGTTAACTTTACAGTCTTACCAGACTTTGTCGTCTTTAAGGGAACTGTATTGTGATCAAAGAATCAGAATTTGTACCAAATAGATTTAATGTATCTGTCAGTTCAAGCTATATTGGCCTGGTGAAATAACTTGTCACAGGATTTAAAACTAAAACTAGATACGTCAACTGCACAGGAACACTAACATCTACACTGGTACACAAATTAAGTAAACTGCTCAAGGTATTACACAAGATTTTTGTTCGCAATAAAACATTTCCACTTACCCTCATAGTCCCACAGTCCATTGAAAGGCTTTCCTGGCTCTACAAGTGGTGCTGGAGGATCATTAAAGAAGAGAGCACTTACTTCCATCAGCAATCCTGCACTGCCGGACTTCAGCCTGACAGTTGCTGGCTCATGACTCACTGGTAAACTGTCCCATGTGTGTTCAATTTTAAATTCCATCTAACTATTTTGTAAACGAACTGGAAATGGAAGTATGTCAACAATTCCAAGATTAGCTGAAAAGACTGTCCTGTTGGTATTGTCTAAAGGAAGAAGAAAAAAAAATACAAAATTTTATGCAATGCTATTTTGTTATCTTCAGCATGAAACTCAAAGCAAGTTAGCACATGGGATAATTGATCTCTTTGTACCTGATCTTTCAGTTCTTACTGATGAGGAAAATGCAAATGAATGTCAGTGGGACTTCTCCTAGGAATAAGGGCTGCAGGATGATGCCCTTTAAATGGAAGGACTAGCTTAAAGAAAATTGAGCAAAATTAAAATGAAAGACTGCACAGAGGCCATAAAATGGATTAATATTCTTGACACAGCTTAATACGGTTAATTGAAAATTCTGCTTTTCACATACAAGGACTGATAAAATAAGCTTGGTCATAGTACCTTAAAAACAGAGGTCAGATTCAGTCTTCACATACAAATGCAACTCTGCTAAAGTCAAAGAAGTTGCACTAGTTTGCTGCAAAAAAGAATTTAGCCAAATGAGTTTTATAATAAAAGCAAATGCTGCACACTTTTTAAAAATTTAGACAAAGCAGCTGAGCTCAAATATTAAGATGGTCACAATATGCACTTAATTAAAAACTTATTCCTAAGCTATACACATATAGTCCTGGACCCCTAAAATTCATCCTTTTCTGAAGGAAAAGAGCAAGGAGATCTTGTTTTTTCAAAACAGGACCTCAGTGTTATTCAATGAAATTCACCCTGTAGGACAGGAACATATGATGTAATCCTGATCCCACATTCAAAACATAAACAAAAAGACTGTGTGTGTGGAGGGTCCAATTGAAGGATTTGGAAACGTGGGGCTAAGATATGTTTTTCTACCTCTCATCATACACCTAGTCCGTGGCTGCTTCTGGTACTGTAGTCTATAGGAGTGTCCCTGGCCAACTATGTTCCCATTTGCAGGGATTGTAGGCAAAAGATCTGCATAGATAATGTCCTGCCCCTCTGACCCATCACAATCATCCCCCACAATGTCATAGTGGATTGTCACAAAGCCTGGCTCCTCAGTGCTCAGGTGGTTGCAAAATACTCTGCGTGACCTCTGGGCCCCATCTTCAGGCCATGAAGTAATCGGGAGGTTCCACATAGGCGTTTCTGTACAATACCTTAACATGAGAATTTTTTTTAAATAAATGTCAGAAAATTTGAAAAACATCTTTCAATATTTTAAAACAAATGCAAAACAAAATGTATGTCTCCTGAAAGCATTAACTAGTAATCTTACACTTGCATAATTAAAATAAATAAAATTGCCAAGCGATTCATTTAGAATAAGATCCAATTACTTTTGTTTTTTTGAAAATACGATCTCCCAAGTTAAGATTAAGAAATGGCAACTGTGCATGTGCACAAAAACATATCTTCCACAAATTGTCAAAGATTTTTACCAAAATAATCAACATCTATTCTACATTAGACCAAACTATAAATTTCCACTGCAAAATGTAACTTCACTGATTTGAGAATGTGAAAATCAATTTATTTCATGGCAAAGTAACATGTAATACCCGTTTTGTAAACGTCAAAATAGAAGAAATTAAAATGATCAGAAAACAGTTGGCACTAAGGATTGCTCTGCTGTAAACCAATAAAATGCAAGGACTTAAGAACCAAACCAACATTTCAACTTAATAAACCCATTGCTGAGTCTTTATGTTCATTGCAGCACTCAGGTAACTTTTCAATTAAAAAGGTAAACTGTAAAGCTTATCCTTTTAAAGGTTATCTGCAAATAAACCACCATATTCTGCTACTGACCATGACAGACGTCTTCAATGAAATTAATGGGGAGTGTGGTGGTTTAAAACAAAGAACCTTCTGTGAAGGAAGTGGAGCTGCAATAATGTATGAAGAATGTATGTTGACCTGGTTATTGGAATATTTAGTGTATGGATATATTGGCAAAAAGAAAAGGAGTACTTGTGGCACCTTAGAGACTAACCAATTTATTTGAGCATGAGCTTTCGTGAGCTACAGCTCACTTCATCGGATGCATATCGTGGAAACTGCAGCAGACTTTATATACACACAGAGAATATGAAACAATACCTCCTCCCACCCCACTGTCCTGCTGGTAATAGCTTATCTAAAGTGATCATCAAGTTGGGCCACTTCCAGCACAAATCCAGGTTTTCTCACCCCCTCACCTCCCTCCAAAAAACACACACACAAACTCACTCTCCTGCTGGTAATAGCTCATCCAAAGTGACCACTCTCCCTACAATGTGCATGGTAATCAAGGTGGGCCATGTCCAGCACAAATCCAGGCTCTCTCACCCCCCCTTCCCCCCCCAGGACACACACACACACACACACTCACTCTCCTGCTGGCAATAGCTCATCCAAACTGTCCACTCTCCAAGTTTAAATCCAAGTTAAACCAGAACGTCTGGGGGGGGGGCGTAGGAAAAAACAAGGGGAAATAGGCTACCTTGCATAATGACTTAGCCACTCCCAGTCTCTATTTAAGCCTAAATTAATAGTATCCAATTTGCAAATGAATTCCAATTCAGCAGTTTCTCGCTGGAGTCTGGATTTGAAGTTTTTTTGTTTTAAGATAGCGACCTTCATGTCTGTGATTGCGTGACCAGAGAGATTGAAGTGTTCTCCGACTGGTTTATGAATGTTATAATTCTTGACATCTGATTTGTGTCCATTTATTCTTTTACGTAGAGACTGTCCAGTTTGACCAATGTACATGGCAGAGGGGCATTGCTGGCACATGATGGCATATATCACATTGGTGGATGTGCAGGTGAGCGAGCCTCTGATAGTGTGGCTGATGGTATTAGGCCCTGTGATGGTGTCCCCTGAATAGATACGTGGGCACAGTTGGCAACGGGCTTTGTTGCAAGGATAAGTTCCTGGGTAAGTGGTTCTGTTGTGTGGTATGTGGTTGTTGGTGAGTATTTGCTTCAGGTTGTGGGGCTGTCTGTAGGCAAGGACTGGCCTGTCTCCCAAGATTTGAGAGAGTGTTGGGTCATCCTTTAGGATAGGTTGTAGATCCTTAATAATGCATTGGAGGGGTTTTAGTTGGGGGCTGAAGGTGACGGCTAGTGGCGTTCTGTTATTTTCTTTGTTAGGCCTGTCCTGTAGTAGGTAACTTCTGGGAACTCTTCTGGCTCTATCAATCCGTTTCTTTACTTCCGCAGGTGGGTATTGTAGTTGTAAGAAAGCTTGACAGAGATCTTGTAGGTGTTTGTGTCTGTCTGAGGGGTTGGAGCAAATGCGGTTGTATCGCAGAGCTTGGCTGTAGACGATGGATCAGGTGATCAGACAATTGGTGCAGGTGAACACCAGACCCAAACCCTTGGATCTTAAGAACAATGAAAAATCAATCAGGTTCTTAAAAGAAGAATTTTATTTAAAGAAAAGGTAAAAGAATCACCCCTGTAAAATCAGGATGGTAAATACTTTACAGGTAATCAGATTCAAAACATAGAGAATCCCTCTAGGCAAAACCTTAAGTTACAAAAAGACACAAAAACAGGAATACACATTCCCTCCAGCACAGCGAATTTTACAAGCTATTAAACAGAAGAAAATCTAACGCATTTTCTAGCTAGATTACTTACTAACTTTAGAGGAGTTGGAAGTTCTTGCATCCTTGATCTGTTCCTGGCAAAAGTATCACACAGACAGGCAGAACCCTTTGTCCATCCCCCCCAGATTTGAAAGAATCTTGTCCCCTCATTGGCCATTTTGGGTCAGGTGCCAGCGGGGTTACCTTAGTTTCTTAACCCTTTACATGTGAAAGGATTTTGCCTCTGGCCAGGAGGGATTTTATAGCACTGTATACAGAAAGGTGGTTACCCTTCCCTTTATATTTATGTAATGAAAATAAGCAGCAAGGAAGAAAAGTTCAATGTAAGCCACCTCTCAGCAAACACTTGAGGGTTTACGCCTGGGGGAATTCTGTGCCACCATGCATGCACAGAATTTACGTTCCCCAACAGATTTTTTTGCTTCCCCACAGAAAACTGACTTTCTGATGGGAAAGCAATGGGAAGGCACAAGAACAGTCACGCAACCTTCCTCAGCAGTATATTTCGGATACCCAGGGCAGCCAACAGAGAGGTAAATCACTGTGAGGCAGGGGACGGAACTGGGGAAAACCCAGCCGGTGGCTTCTACCCTGGACCAGGCTCAGCTGCTAGTCTCAGCTGGGCTGAGGAGGACAGGACTTCCTCTTCCCCTATACAGCATCTGATTTCTCCAGCTGCAGAAAGCTCTGCAAACTGCCCCCTCTCTCCCACTTCCTGCACCCATCGCTCCTCAGCTGCAGGGTGAGGGATCCCTGTATAGGGAACTGCTCCCTCATCTGCCCAACCCCCATGCATCCAGACCCCCTCATACAAAGACCCTCCTGCCGAGCCTCACCCTCCCACACTCAGAACCTCCCAGCTGAGCCCCACTCCCCATACACCTGGGCCCCCCAACTAAGCCCCCCACTCCCAGACTCCCTTCTGAGCTCTATACCCCCATGCACAGACCCCCCCCGCCCCGAGCCCAAACCACCTTCACCTGGACCCCCCTGCAGAATCTCATTACCGTTGTACTCAGAACTCCCCAACAAGCCCCTGTGCATCTGGATTCTCCACTAAGCTGCCTGTACCCACATTGCCCCACACAGAACCCTCTCCACCCACCCCTGGATTCCCTTCACAGTAAGCCCCTCCACACGTGGATCCTGCCTCACTGAGTCTGCCTTCCCACACCTGGTGCACCTGGCACAGAGGAGAAGGGCCCTGGTGTGTTTCTGGGGCAGGCTGTGTCAGGGTTAGGTGCAGCCTCACTGCTGAGTCTGTACCCGGGGGGGAGCTGCACAGTGATCTCCCATCTCTGTGCAGCCAGTGGCCTGTGCTCCTTAATGCCATGCCAGAGCCTCCAAATTTATTTGACAAATAACATTTGCAGAATTTTAAAATATTGTGCACATAATTTTTATTTTTTTGGTGCAGAATGCCCTCAGGAATAAGGGTTGTTACAGAGTAATGGCTCTGAGGAATCTGTCTTGACTTCCTGCAGAGCCTACTGAACTGTTTTTTTTGATGACAAAGGCAAAAGTATGGGAACTGACAAGAACAAAAGAACTCTGGCTGGATAAAAAGAGACTCTTTCCAAAGCGAAAGTAGCTGGGGATCTGTCAGGGGAAAGCAGAAATCCCAAGCCAGCTGGGGTGTCAGAAGAAATTCAGCCTGTCAAGGCAAACATGAGGGAATAGTAAGTCATTAGATATGCATGCAGACTGTGTTGGTTTATAATCCTTTTTCTCTAAATTCTTTGCTCTGACTGTTAAAACAAACAATGATTTGGCTGTCTGGTCACCATATTCATCTCTGTCTCAGACTCCCAAAGGGAAAAACTCCAGGTGTTGAACTCTGTTAGACCTACTGGGTAAGCACAGTTGATACGCAAGGTATTACAGTCTAGGACCTGGTCTAAGAGTGGGAGAACTGTGGAATTCCAACCCAGGAGAAGTAACGTTGGATCATATTAAAGAAGTTCTGTATTAAAATCACAAATGAGTTTGATTCCCCATGGTTTAAATTCCAGGGTATTACTAATTAAGAGGTCTCTTGGTTTTTGGTACTGTTTCTCTCCCTCTATGTGTAAAACTTGCAAGCTGCTAATTGTGTTAGTACATTCTAAGACAGAGTCTGTTCTCAAAGCAATTCTTTGTAACAACAACTACTCACACAGAGAGAGACTCAAAGCAATACTCTGTAACAACAGAAACAGCACCCAGAGACTCCCTGCCCTTTTGTTGGATTCATCTCGCTTTGTTAACAATTGTGATTAAAATAGAGATAGAGGATGTATGTGGATGGATGCTTGGTGTGGATAATAACTGAATGATCAGGGAGGTGCCAGCCTAAGAATCCAGTGTCCATCGGTTGAAGGCAGCGTCAAGTGGAAACAACCAGAGGACCCCCGGAGGGCAGACTGGAATCCACCCAACAGCCTCAAGAATGGGAGAACCAAAGAACAAGATAACATCTGGCAGCACAGAGCCGTCAGGAATGTGACATCTGCTGACTGATTCAGCAACAGCATGATGAAGTAATTCCCATAGACTGACATAGGAAGAAATTCCTATAAAAATGAACTCTAGAAAGTGAGAACTTTGGGGTCTGATTCTGCAAACCGACTTCCAGGAGCATCAGACGTGCATCTGACGAGGCCCTGCTCCCGCCTCATGTCCAGGCCACCTGGCCAGTGGCTTGGCATGAGCAACTCTAAGGCTGGTAACTATGATAACAACCTTGCAGAACGTGTGTGTGTGTGTGTGTGAATGAATATGAGATTGAATGGAATGTTATAGCTATAACTAACTGCTTACTATGATTCTTTCTGTATTCACAATAAATGTGGTATTTTGCCTTTTCCCCTTTAATAAGATCCTGCTGGTTTTTATTTTATTGGTATAACAGTAAGGGCACAAAGCCTAATACATGAGGGGATGCACTCAGAGAATCCAGAAAGAAAGGAAAGACATGGCTACACCTGCCCCCACGACACCTTCCAACTACTCACAAACAGTGGTAGTATAGGATCTACAGTAATCTGAAATTCAGAAAACTTCATCCACTTCAACAATGTGTGCTGAATGCTCCATTAAGCAGCCTATTGCAGGAGGAATATTCTGCACGCTCTCTTTTACTCTTAAATACTAAAGGTCTATCCTTGTTGTGATGGAATAGCACCTGGTCAGCTATGACACTGCACCAAACACTATTCTAAAGAGCCACCAGACTCATCTGAACCCTTACAGACTCTGTGAAGTAGCTTTCTATTACTTAAAATGTATAGTTATTTATTATATAGAATCTACAAAAATACTTAAAAAACACCCAAAACTTTAGAAAACCAGCCACTGGCACTTCCTAAAGCAACTTTCACTATCTATACATTTGTTTTTTATATGTTCACTTGACTGAATATTGAAGCCAAGGCATCATTACAAACAGATATTAATGGCAGCTGTTTATCTAAAATATCCTGACTTTCTACTTTAAAAGTCAGAATGTTGTTTGTCTTTTTTGAGACAGGAGGGAAAGCAGGATGAAAAGGAAGATGGAGGCTAAAGAGAGGTGAGAATCTAAGCTGTACTATATTAGGTTTCAGAAGATACAAAGGATAGTTCAAGAACTCGCTTACTTCATAGGTGATACTTTGTATGCCTGAGCCTCACAAAACTAAGAACATTTACAAGACATACTGTAACGGCACTTTTAGGAGCACTTACAGTTCACAAAAATGCTCTCTGCAAGGCAGTGGCCTATGTTGGGGTAGTGTCAGATCTGCCACAAACCAAAGGGAAAGCAGGAACATCTTGATCAAGTAGGCAGACAGCAAAGACTGTCCTCTGCCACTCTTTGTCATAGGGAACAGTACACTTCACCTGGTGTGGAGGGGGCAGAAAGAGTGTTTACCCATGTAAGAGCATGTCATTGTCTGGCCCTAAATTAGAAAGTTTCAAAAACTGTATCAGATTTTTACATTATAAACAGGAGAAAAACATTCATACTTGTGTAGAAGCATTAGGTCTTATATACTTTTTAGGCTGAAGCCACTGGAGGGCAACATGCTCACACAAACAGGTGATGGGACAAAAGCTTTTCTAATAACAGTAGTTAACTTTTAGAGGACAGCGTGATCATATACTCTAACCAGGTGTGAATTATATCCAGCACACAGTTGAGGCACGTACATACTCGGTAAGGACAGCCACACACAATTAGCAAATTATCTAGCTAGATCAGAGCTGTTCAGCTGTGTATTGCACCGTGCAGTAATTCCACAAACCATTCCAAGCTCTCTGTGAAAAGTTCATGCATCTGAACAGTGATCTAGTTTTTAGAAGTAATAATCACTGGTTGCAACTAAGCCAGGGGAAATCCAGTCAGCCTTAATATTATGGTCTTCCGATTGTGACTATTTAGAACAGAGGTGGGCAAACTTTTTGGCCCAAGGGCCACATCGGGATTGCGAAACGGTATGGAGGGCCGGGTAGGGAAGGCTGTGCCTCCCTAAACAGCCTGCCCCCTATCCACCCCGACTGCCCCCCTCAACCCATCCAACCTTTTCATATATACAGAACCACAAAAGGGTTATATATTGTGGATAATCAGATGGTCACTTTAATATTTAAAAAATTGTGTCTGAAAGGTTTATCACAAAAGGTCACTAATTTCATACATAAATCTTGAGACCTTGATCCCATAACTCCTTATGCACTAAGCAACGGGAGTATAAGGTGACTGTGCTTTGGAGAAGTGTACATAGAGGATGTGTGTGGACACAATTAAGGTTAAGCAACTTGGGTTTTGATTCAGCTCCCACGGAAGTGAACAGAAAGATTCCCATTAACTTAAATGGGAGCCAGATGGGGTCTTATGTGTAATTCTCCACATTTAGTGAAAGTAAGCCTCAAGCCCACTGTGGGCTTGTTCCCTTACTCTTAAGAGCTCAGGGTAAAAAAAGGCACAGAATGAGTGTGCCTGAGGATGTAAATAAAGCTGCATGCTCCCCTCCGGTATTAGACAGCAGTAATTTGGTGGTTATGCAGATCAGGATCTGATGCTTCCTTTGTCCTGCTCCTCATTTTTTACCTTGTGCCTACATGTACAACACTCTGCAACTGTATGATGCAGGATCAAAACCTCTGTGTGCGCACATAACATATATACTCATACATAAAAACTAGTAATAGTTTCTAAAAATAAAAATAGAATGTTGGTGCTATTATGTAGCTTTAGTGAAGAGGCACTTTGGATTTTCAGTCATTTAATGTTCCATTATGTTTCTCCTCTCCCTCATTAGAAAAAATCTGGGGAAATCCAGAGAGTATCCCTGCAGAAGACATAAAAACAACCATTTATCAGAAGAAAAACAATAATGAAAAGATTTTCTTACCTCTTTGGTAGGTGGTTACAATTCCTGACAGCAGCAGGAAATGTGATGCTTCCCCCCTTAAGCATAAAACTTGAAGGTAGGTTCACAGGTTAGAATTATAGGAGAGCAAGTTCTAGAAGTGACAAGAGGAAATAATGCATCTTATTAAGATACTACTAGCTGAAAGCCCATGCTGCATGAGGGGCTGTGTGTGGTTGGAGTTACTGTGTATGCTGGTTGTGTTGTTGTGTGGGTGCTTGTGTTGATTTGGGTCTAGGGGCGTGTGATAGAGTATACAAACCCCACGCTAGTAAGGAAAGGATTGAGCAGCTGCACTGGGCCCAGACAACCCCCATTCCCTGTTCCCCCAACACCACACCACACATGCAAAGCATGCATGGCTTGGAGGAGGAACTCAGAAGAACGGGCCAGAAGACAATAGAGCTAAACTGTCATACACTCAGAGCTCCTGGGAAGGAATACTGCATGCCAGGCTATAGTGACTTTACCACACCCAGAGAAAACCCTGTGATGCTCTGAAGGTCTGAGACTTTACTTTTGATTTTAGTCTTCTTTTATATGGGAAACTTAAAAAGAATTAAAGGTCACACCCAAGTTTGTCATGCACTCTACAGATTCCAGTTATTTAAATGTCTTTACTTAATTTGTTGTGGGGAGAAAGGGGACTGGTAGGAAGTGATCCAGGGAAACAACACTTTTGGGAGCAGCACTTACTGCCTATCACTGGACCCCAAATCAGAACCTGTGGGAACCAAGGGGAGAGACTATCAATACCAGAAAAGGAAGAGATTGCTATGTCCATCTTATTTGGAAATTTAGACAGCCTGGAACTACTCAGGGTAGACTGGAAAGGTTGAGAGCCACTGCTTTACTGTAGCTGCACTCCACATGGGTGTAACTCAAAGTCAAATTTTACCTTAAGAGACTGTGAAACCCAGTGACAATTGAACCTGGTGGTATTCCGAACAAAAGTTCTCAACCATGCTTGTAGCTGCTTCCATTGCTTCACACTGAGTCAACAAACATCCTAGGCTTACGGGTAAAGGGTGACATTCCTGGAATCTTACACCTTGTCTACACTTCAAAGTTATGTCGACCTAACTTATATCAGCATACAGCCTTCACAATTATTAAATCGCTTGTGTGTGTGTGTGCACACTTGGCTCCTTGTGTCAGTGGTGCATGTCCTCACCAGGAGTACTTGCATTGTCAGCATGGGGCATTGTGTGACAGATAGTAACTGTCAACATAAGCAACACAGTGTCTACACTGATATTGTGTCAACCTAATTACATTAACCGTGACTCTATACCGCTCTGGGAGGTGGTGTTACTAAATAGGCATATGTCACTGGGAGCCAAATTTAAGTGAAGACACTTGCAAAACTAGGTCAATGCAAGGCAAGTTACGTCGATCCAAGCGTATAGTTTAGACCAGGCCTTACTCCACAGACTCACTATTACGATAGGAAAAAATGCATAGAAAAGTTGGCTGAAAAGACAGCTGCTAGTATGAGAGATATGCAAAACACAGAGGATCAAATTCTCTTCTCAGATATGTGGATACAACTACCATAGAGCCAAATTCAGATGTTATATAAGCAGGTACAACTTTACTGATAATTTGGCCTATTGACTTAAGTGAGGTCTGCTCTTTTGTACAGGGATGTAGAATTTTGCCTGTGCCTTCATTTTCAGAACTCCATGCTCCAGATTTGAATAGTCTGGTAAAAGTCTTTGAAATATTAAAGCATTAACTGCCTGACCTGAAGCCCTGATATGCACATTTTTTCTTGAAGTCCAGAGATTTTCCTGCATAAGGATTGCATGAGCAAACCCTAATGTGTGAGACAGTATACATTGCAAATTCTATTCTTCAAGTGGAAAACAACATTAACATCTAAATCTACATAGGTTGTTGCTTAAGAAATGGGTTAAAATAGTGACAGAGTACAAAGATATATACTCCCCCATAATTCTATGCTTGAGCCTTTGCTATAAGAAAACTCCAAAATGCTCACCAGTCAATTAAGATATGCAAATTCTGATTAAACAGGCTCTACAACAAAGGAACTTTCATAACTGTGTGAAAAAACTTGCATAGCATAGCCTCAAGTTAACAATGTAAAACAATTACCAGTGTTTGATTTATATACTCACCGCTCTTTGAGTGCATTAAATTACTTATTAAATATATAACTAAGCGTAGGGCCAAAATTTACTGATACTGGATTGTTTCTGCTATTGGCATCTCTACACATATCCCTTATAGTGCTAAAGAGAAATAGAGTTTGGTACCCTCTATACCACATACTTTTTATAGTCAGAATAGAAGCACTAGCAGTGACCAATACACATTTCTGGCTTATTTCAGGAATTTCCAACAAGGATAAAAATAAATTCCAGGAAAAAATAGTATATGATCACATAATTCAAAACTATAATAATGCATACACAAAAAGGGACCAAATTAAGGTTGAACATGGAACTATAATTCTGGTATTTGACTTCTGAGTGCTTGACTTTGCAATCCTAATAATGTTCTTTTTACTACTTTTTTGTTTGTAGTTTCCTAGGTTTTAAAACAAACAAACCCTAAAACCAAATTCCATCATGTTGCATCAAAGGGATACCCACACAAGTCATCAGCAAGGTTAGCTCCACTGCACAGATCTCTGCCACCTGAGTGGATAGAATAGCTGACAGCAATAACAGATACCCATAAAACATGACAATGTCTACACTGCAGCTAGACACCCATGGCTGGCCAGTGCCAGTTAACTCAGGCTTGTGCCAGCTGACTCACCAGCTTTCATTACTATGTAGACTTCCCGGCTCCAGCTGGAGCCTGATCTCTAGGACCCTCTCACTTTGCAGGGTCCTAGAGCTCAGGCTTCAGCCACAGCCCAAACATCTACAGGGCAATTTACCAGCCTGCAAGCCTGAGCCCTGGGAGCCGGAGTCAGCTAGCACGGGCCGGCCACGGGTGTCTAGTTCCAGTGTAGACATACCCTCTGCGGACCAGCACTGAAGGGGCGAGGGGTGGGTGAGGCACCTGGTCCTCTGGTGGGTGTCAGAGATATTTGCTGACGCTCGGGTCTGCTGGGGTCCGTCCATCCCAGCCCCCGGAGGGGAACGGGTTCTACTAGGGCCTGACTCTCCTGCTTGTCTCCGCCTACCTAGCCCGCAGGCCCCGCCCACCCAAGTGCGCCCCGCACCCGGCTCCCCTCCCACTCCCCGGCACGGGCACGGGCACGGGCACGGGCAGGGGCAGGGGCGGCAGCTGCTGCTCCCGCTCCCCTAAACAGAAGGGACCTGGCGATTCCACCTACCGCGCGCCGCTGCCCGTCGCTGGACGACAGCGTTCGCCTACTTGTCCGGCCCGTCCCTACCCCACGTGGGAGAAAGAGGCGGACCCGCATGGTTATGCAGAAATTACACCAATAAGAAACCGCTTTCCACTTACCTCGGATTCCGATTGGTGGATTGATTTCTGTCACGTGAGCGGCCCAGTTCCTCGCGGCGTCGGTCGCTAAGGCAGTTGGAAGGAGCGCTAGTTTTTAGCGGGGCTGGCGGTACGCGTTGGACAGGTAGGAGCTGGCGGCTGTACCGGAAAGGGGGTGGGTCACAGGGCGAGTCGCTGCGCGGGCTCGCTGAGCCTCGTTCTGGCCCCAGGGTCGTCGTCTCCCGCCGCCGAACTGCCGCGGGGTTTGTACACCTGTGTGCGGCGGTGCCCCCCCCGCGCGCGCCCCGGAGCCGATTGCTGCGACTCGCTGCCTTCCCGGGGGCGGCCCGGGGTTCGCTCGGGGCAGGGCGTGCGGAGCCGTCGGCGGGCGTCCCCCTCCTTCTAGTGCCTGGTGGGTTTTGCCGGACGGGGAGGCGGAGCTCGAGCGAGCCCGCACCGCCCCTGTTAGCAGGACGGGGCACTTCCTGGGGGGTGGGGCGGAGTGTGCCGCCCCTGGGAGACACCTGGGCAGAGCGCGAGCTGCTGGTTTGGGGCTGGGGCCTGGGGTCTTAGCACACTTGTTCCCGGGCTTTAACAACCTGTGACCCCTTTCACTAAAATGTCTCGTGAACCCCTTCCTAAAAATGAATATTTCCAGGGATTTTCTCCTTTCCCTGAGTATAAATTATAAAAGCAGTGATCTTGGAAATATAGAATTTGTTTTTATGATATGCTTATTACACACTATTATTATTTATACACACTATTACATTATGAAAACAGCAACACTCTTCCAAGATCTCACTTTTGTAGCTTGTATCACTTTGAATAAGCCTGTTATAAGACAAGGCTCGGATAATTCATCAAGGAGTACCAGACATGAAACAGCATGAAGATATTTAAGAAGCCAGTTCAAAGAATTCCTCCTGCACAAGCATTCAGGTCTTGAGCAGTCTAGGCAAACGACACACGTTACAACAAAGCTTAAACTTGTTCTTCATAATAATTTAAAAAGCAATACTAGCTGTCTATTTAATTTTTAAAACAGCAAAAAATATCCACTTCCCTTTTCATTTCTTATAAGGAGTTTTGAAGTTTAAATCTCCTCAGTGTGATAGATACGTGTGCTTTGACCTGCTTAGCTCTTGGAAGTCCAGGGGCTCCAAGCTGCTGGCCCTGTGCTGCCAGGGGTCCCTAGGGACAGCTCTGTCTGCCATTAGGGATTTTTTTCCTGAGACACCCCCCGTAACATTTCGTGAACCCCAGTTTGGGAACCACTGGTCTATCAGCTACACTAAGGGGGGTAGTTGATTGGCTTGACTGACAAAACACTGCTCCCTGTGCTCTTCCCCCCTGCAGTTTGGAGGCTGTAATACTTTGCCAGACCTGGACAAAATGAAACTAACGTGCAGAAATAGGCTGTTATTTAAAGTTAAAATGCTTGATTATTGTTTTTGTCTCTTTCAGGCTCTGCAGCATAGCTGGAAAAAACAGCAGTTTACTGAATCTCTTTGTTACCAACATCGGACTGCACATGCAGATTAAAGTATGGCAACAGAGATCAATTTTCTAAGAGATCAAAGTAAGCTCCACCTAGACTTAAAATAGATTTTTGTGCACTTAAAGTCTTGCAATTACATTTCTCCATAACCTGTAACTGTATTTCATTCGCTGAGTGTTTGAAAGATAGATGCTGAACAGGAAACCTGACCCTCCTAGTCCCAGAGTAAACAAACAGAACACCCCTCTCCCCCCTGTTCTGTTGTACAGTAATTTTAGGAGTTACTTTCTATAAAACTCTCTCCTAACACTTAGTTAAGAAAATAACTTTGTGTCAACAACTCTGGTTTGTCTTTAATAACGATAGTAAACAAAAATTCAGTCTCAGGATCTTTGATGCTTTTAGCTTTCATTTCCCATCCCCACCTACCTACAATGTTGAGAGGTGGTTGGCATGTGCTCTGTAGGATTAAACATGTTGGAAGGGGACCTACTTGGACTTCTCCTGTGTGTAAGATGGTGCAGAAGAGCACTCCCAGTGTTGCCCATACTCTGTCAGTGTTCAGTAATGCCTTTCTCTAATTTTATCATATATGCAGGGAATTTTCTTAGTTATCTTTTGAGACTTATTTGTAGAGCGGAAGTACTGGGGATGAGATCTTGGTATTTCTGTTTTTATTCAACTAAATTGTATAAAACTTGATTCTTGTGTATCCATAGAAACCTCACATGAATCTTCTTTTTGGGACTATGAAATTAGAATATGTATGTTTTTTCCTCTTGCTTGGTGAAAATAGGCATCTTTTTTAGTTATTGTTCATGAAATAGGCTTCACTACAAACGGGCATCAGCATTATTCTTTTGTAAGGGATGCTCTGTGTTGATAGAATTGATAGATAAAACTACTAAGGTTCTGAGGAAGGTAAACTTAAAATATACAATTAGCACTTCCAGCTCTACAACATTTTTCTGGTATGTCCATAGGGCTACATTCTGTAAACAGGAAGTGACCTGCTGTACTGTATAGATCAGTGATCCCCAAACTTTTCAGGGTTGTGAGTGCCCCCCCAGCTGGTGGCGAGAGCAGGGCTGCATCTCAGGGGAGGGGGAGAGGAACAGGGGTGACTCTGGGGCTGGCAGCTGGGCCCATAGCCAGGTGCGGAGCCATCCCAGGGCTGGGTGGTGCTCCATGTCCCCCGTAGGGTCTGGCCCAGGTACTCTGCACTCCCTTAGGGGGTGTCATAAATATAAAGGGAAGGGAAACCGCCTTTCTGTATACAGAACTATAAAATCCCTCCTGGCCAGAGGCAAAACCTTTTCACCTGTAAAGGGTTAAGAAGCTAAGATAACCTCGCTGGCACCTGACCAAAATGACCAATGAGGAGACAAGATACTTTCAAAGCTGGAGGGGTGGGAACAAAGAGTCTGTGTGTGTGTGTGATGCTTTTGCTGGGAACAGATCAGGAATGCAGTCTCAGAAACTCTGTTAATTTAGTAAGTAATCTAGCTAGAAAGGTGTTGGATTTCCTTTTGTTTAACGGCTGATAAAATAATCTGTGCTGAATGGAATGTATATTCCTGTTTTTGTGTCTTTTTGTAACTTAAGGTTTTGCCGAGAGTGATTCTTTATGTTTTGAATCTGATTACCCTGTAAGGTATTTACCATCCTGATTTTACAGAGGTGATTCTTTTACCTTTTCTTTAATTAAAATTCTTCTTTTAAGAACCTTATTGTTTTTTCATTGTTCTTAAGAGTTTGGGTCTGTCTTCACCTGTACGAATTGGTGAGGATTTTTATCAAGCCTTCTTCAGGAAAGGGGGTGTAGGGTTGGAAATGAGACCTTGCATCAGGGTTGCCTGCTAACATTTTAACAAACTGTAACAGAACAAGTGGAGTAATATATAACAGAATTGCACTGATTGCACAACTTCATTTATTTTTTTTTTTTAAATAAAGAAATATATTGAACAGCTGGTTGGGATGACCTCAGGTGAAAATTCACCTTTTGAATTATAAAAAGGCACCTCTGTAGTGGAGAAGAAGAGCTTCTGTAACAGACCCTGTTTCCACTATTGGGGGTGGGGGAGGGGGAGGAGGTTGTGTGTTTAAATAGTAACTTGTATGATTTCTGCACCTAGCACAATGCTTTTTTTATTTAAAAAAAAAGGGGGGGTGGCAAATCAAAGTGCCTGGTATTTATGATGTTGGTTTTTTGCACTTGCATACTTCCATTATTTTCCCCACCCAAATTGAGTTCACACTGTCTAGCCCAGCACAAACTGAGTGAGGTGACTTGCTTAATCTGTCTGGGGATTTTAGTCTTGCTTCTGACTTCCCAAAAGACTTATTGTTAAGAAGTACCAGGACAGGACATAGTGACAAAGATAGAGTTTACCTATATTCTCACCTATACGTGAGTGTAGGTTACAATTGTGAGATATTGGTTAGAGGTTTACTGTAGATCTGATATGATTCAATGTTTTTTGATTCATGGCTGAGAAGTCAAGGTTTTCAAATAGTGACTGTTTATTATATTCATAAGGTGGATGCACTAGGAATGTACAATGTTAGATATTATTAAAAGGACCTCATCTATACCTATAGTGGGGCTCTGTTTAATAGCATTGATTTGTAGTAGGTGAGACTCGCCCCAACATGCACTCATCTGGTGATCAGGAGTTGCCCTGATCCTGCAAATACTAACACGTGTACTTAACTCTCTGCCCTTCAGTAGTCCCATTTAAGTTAAGCATGTAAATAAGGGTATGTCTGCACTACGGAATAAGGTTGAATTTATAGAAGTTGGTTTTTTAGAAATCAGTTTTATATATTGGAGTGTGTGTGTCCCCACAGAAAATGCTCTAAGTGCATTAAGTGCATTAACTCGGCGGAGTGCTTCCACAGTACCGAGGCTAGAGTCGACTTCCGGAGCGTTGCACTGTGGGTAGCTATTCCACAGTTCCCGCAGTCTCCGCTGCCCATTGGAATTCTGGGTTGAGATCCCAATGCCTGATGGGGCTAAAACATTGTCGCGGGTGGTTCTGGGTACATATCGTCAGGCCCCCCTTCCCTCCCTTCCTCCGTGAAAGCAAGGGCAGACAATCGTTTCGCGCCTTTTTTCCTGACTTACCTGTGCAGACGCCATACCATGGCAAGCATGGAGCCCGCTCAGGTAACCGTCACTGTATGTCTCCTGGGTGCTGGCAGACGCGGTACGGCATTGCTACACAGTAGCAGCAACCCATTGCCTTCTGGCGGCAGACGGTGCGATATGACTGGTAGCCGTCCTCGTCGTGTCCGAGGTGCTCTTGGCCACGTCGTCTGGGAGCGCCTGGGCAGACGTGGGCACAGGGACTAAATTTGGAGTGACTTGACCAGGTCATTCTCTTTAGTCCTGCAGTCAGTCCTATTGAACCGTCTTATGGTGAGCAGGCGGGCGATACGGATTGCTAGCAGTCGTACTGTACCATCTTTTGCTGGGCAGGCAAGAGATGAGGATGGCTAGCAGTCGTACTGTACCATCTTCTGCCGAGCAGCCATGAGATGTGGATGGCATGCAGTCCTTCTGCACCGTCTGCTGCCAGCCAAAGATGTAAAAGATAGATGGAGTAGATCAAAACAAGAAATAGACCAGATTTGTTTTGTACTCATTTGCTTCCCCCCCTCCCCTGTCTAGGGGACTCATTCCTCTAGGTCACACTGTAGTCACTCACAGAGAAGGTGCAGCGAGGTAAATCTAGCCATGTATCAATCAGAGGCCAGGCTAACCTCCTTGTTCCAATAAGAACAATAACTTAGGTGCACCATTTCTTATTGGAACCCTCCGTGAAGTCCTGCCTGAAATACTCCTTGATGTAAAGCCACCCCCTTTATTCCCAGACCAGAAAATAACTGTTGGGGATGTTGAAATGCCTATATGTATCCTTGGGGACCCAGCTTACCCCTTAATGCCATGGCTCATGAAGCCGTACACAGGCAGCCTAGACAGTAGTCAGGAGCTGTTCAACTACAGGCTGAGCAAGTGCAGAATGGTGGTAGAATGTGCATTTGGACGTTTAAAGGCGCGCTGGTGCAGTTTACTGACTCGCTTAGACCTCAGCGAAACCAATATTCCCACTGTTATTACTGCTTGCTATGTGCTCCACAATATCTGTGAGAGTAAGGGGGAGACGTTTATGGCGGGGTGAGAGGTTGAGGCAAATCGCCTGGCTGCTGGTTACGCACAGCCAGACACCAGGGCGGTTAGAAGAGCACAGGAGGGCGCGGTACGCATCAGAGAAGCTTTGAAAACCAGTTTCATGACTGGCCAGGCTACGGTGTGAAAGTTCTGTTTGTTTCTCCTTGATGAAACCCCCCACCCCTTGGTTCACTCTACTTCCCTGTAAGCTAACCACCCTCCCTTCCTCCCTTTGATCACCGCTTGCAGAGGCAATAAAGTCATTGTTGCTTCACATTCATGCATTCTTTATTCATTCATCACACAAATAGGGGGATGACTACCAAGGTAACCCAGGAGGGGTGGTGGAGGAGGGAAGGAAAATGCCACACAGCACTTTAAAAGTTCACAACTTTAAAATTTATTGAATGCCAGCCTTCTTTTTTTTGGGCAATCCTCTGTGGCGAAGTGGCTGGTTGGCCGGTGGCCCCCCCACCGCGTTCTTGGGCGTCTGGGTGTGGAGGCTATGGAACTTGGGGAGGAGGGCGGTTGGTTACACAGGGGCTGTAGTGGCAGTCTGTGCTCCAGCTGCCTTTGCTGCAGCTCAGCCATACACTGGAGCATACTGGTTTGGTCCTCCAGCAGCCTCAGCATTGAATCCTGCCTCCTCTCATCACGCTGCCGCCACATTTGAGCTTCAGCCCTGTCTTCAGCCCGCCACCTCTCCTCCCGGTCATTTTGTGCTTTCCTGCACTCTGACATTATTTGCCTCCATGCATTCGTCTGTGCTCTGTCAGTGTGGGAGGACAGCATGAGCTCGGAGAACATTTCATCTCGAGTGCGTTTTTTTTTCTTTCTAATCTTCACTAGCCTCTGGGAAGGAGAAGATCCTGTGGTCATTGAAACACATGCAGCTGGTGGAGGGAAAAAAAAGGGACAGCGGTATTTAAAAAGATACATTTTATAAAACAGTGGCTACACTCTTTCAGGGTAAACCTTGCTGTTAACATTACATACATAGCACATGTGCTTTCGTTACAAGGTCGCATTTTGCCTCCCCCCACCACGTGGCTACCCCCTCAACCTTCCCCCTCCCCGTGGCTAACAGCCGGGAACATTTCTGTTTAGCCACAGGCAAACAGCCCAGCAGGAACGGGCTCCTCTGAGTGTCCCCTGAAGAAAAGCACTCTATTTCAACCAGGTGACCATGAATTATATCTCACTCTCCTAAGGATAACACAGAGAGATAAAGAACGGATGTTGTTTGAATGCCAGCAAACATACACTGCAATGCTGTGTTCTACAATGTTTCCCGAGTACGTGTTACTGGCCTGGAGTGGTAAAGTGTCCTACCATGAAGGACGCAATAAGGCTGCCCTCCCCAGAAACCTTTTGCAAAGGCTTTGGGAGTACATCCAGGAGAGCTGTGAATGCCAGGGCAAAGTAATCCTTTCACATGCTTGCTTTTAAACCATGTATAGTATTTTAAAAGGTACACTCACCGGAGGTCCCTTCTCCGCCTGCCGGGTTCAGGAAGCAGCCTTGGGTGGGTTCGGGGGGTACTGGCTCCAGGTCCAGGGTGAGAAACAGTTCCTGGCTGTCGGGGAAAACTGGTTTCTCCGCTTGCTTGCTGTGAGCTATCTACAGCATCGTCATCATCATCTTCGTCCCCAAAACCTGCTTCCATGTTGCCTCCATCTCCATTGAAGGAGTCAAACAACATGGCTGGGGTAGTGGTGGCTGAACCCCCTAAAATGGCATGCAGCTCATCATAGAAGCGGCTTGTTTGGGGCTCTGACCCGGAGCGGCTGTTCGCCTCTCTGGTTTTCTGGTAGGCTTGCCTTAGCTCCTTAAGTTTCACGCGGCACTGCTTCGGGTCCCTGTTATGGCCTCTGTCCTTCATGCCCTGGGAGATTTTGACAAAGGTTTTGGCATTTCGAAAACTGGAACGGAGTTCTGATAGCACAGATTCCTCTCCCGTACAGCGATCAGATCCCGTACCTCCTGTTCGGTCCATGCTGGAGCTCTTTTGCGATTCTGGGACTCCATCATGGTCACCTCTGCTGATAAGCTCTGCATGGTCACCTGCAGCTTGCCACGCTGGCCAAACAGGAAATGAGATTCAAAAGTTCACGGTTCTTTTCCTGTCTACCTGGCCAGTGCATCTGAGTTGAGAGTGCTGTCCAGAGTGGTCACAATGGAGCACTCTGGGATAGCTCCCGGAGGCCAATACCGTCAAATTGTGTCCACAGTACCCCAAATTTGAGCCGGCAAGGCCGATTTAAGCGTTAATCCACTTGTCGGGGTGGAGTAAGGAAATCGATTTTAAGAGCCCTTTAAGTTGAAATAAAGGGCTTCATCGTGTGGACGGGTGCAGGTTTACATCGATTTAACGCTGCTAAATTTGACCTAAAGTCCTAGTGTAGACTAGGGCTTAGTGTTTGCAGGATTAGGGCCTACCTGAGAGATGGATTTCACAGATGTGCAAAAGTAAGGGAATTAAAAAAAACAAAAACAAAAAAACCCCACCCTTCAGATATATGCTGAAATACCACCTTAAACTGTTTCTTCTTCACATGAGACACGTGACTAAAAATTATAGAAATATGTAGTAGTATTTACATATCCTCTTTAGGATGTAGATACTATATTTAAGCAAATATCCTTAGTCATAAAGAATGATGGGGAGAGTGTGACAATCAAGGAGTTAAGACAATCATCACTGTCTCATCATTTTCTTTGAGTAGCTACGTTACCATGAACATTTCCTTAGCAAGCTGTATAGCTGTTGTGCTGGTTCATATTTTGGGTGGGAAACATCAAGAAAAAATGAAGTATACTTTTGTTTAATTTTGGAATTATTGCCTTGTGTTAATGGATTTTTTCCTTAATTTGCCTGTTGCTTTACTCTTCCTCCTTCTCCATTCAAAGCTGTCACCCACAGCTTTGTGTTTGCCAAATGCTAGAGAGCTCTGACACAAGGAAGAAAACAAAACTCTTGCTTTTTGTTCTCACACACATGCACACACAGCTGTACTAGTACTCTAATAATTAAGCCAATCTGGAATTCCCCATTTTCTTTATGATCCCAAAGTGCTGCCATGAATTCCTGTTATATTTGGCCTTCCCCAAAAAGCAATGTATCCTCTTTTGAGGATGTCACTTGTGCTCTCATTCAGCTTCTTCTAAGAAGCCACTCTGACATGCTCCCTCTATCTTGTCAGGGATGGCATGATATTTACCAGGGGTGTTTTTTACCACTCTGGGAAAAACTAGTTAGTTCTAGTTTAAGATATTTTGTATCTTAAAAAGTGGTTCATGAATGCATACCATATTACTTAGTTTTAGTTGCATGTGGTAGTAGATTGATAATTTAATTTGGAGTTGTACCAATAAAGAGTAAAACTGCAGGAGGCATAATATTAATATGTTAACTATAATATTGAACATATGAAAGTCTGTATATTCAAGTATTTTCTCAAGGAAGTTATACATATCACTCATGATTCAGTTTAATATTATATAAACAAAAGTCAAACATTTTACATGAAAATGCAGAGTTGTAGGCTTGAAGCATTTAGCAATCGTGAGCATGCTGATTTCCAGACATCCAATCTGGGTCCATTTGGCCATGCAGCATTCTGTAGCAGAATACCAACCTTGATGTAGTGGATAGACTGAGCCTATTCCTCAGTTTTGAATGGGTATATCCAAAGTTTGAAAAGATTCGTTCTCTGCTTGCTGGATACCAATGCAATTTTTCCCAATTTAAGCCAGTATTTACCAGCACTCTTTTGTAAAGTAGTTTTCCCCCCAGGAAACTGCCAACCCTGCATCTCATCCTGTAAGGTAGTCAGCCATGCCCAGATGCATTTATCCATACGATTTTTTGCCCCAAAACGTGCCAAGTCCCTCTTGGGTTAATTATCTAAGGTGTAATAGGGTAGCTGCATGGTGAAGGCATCCAACTGATCGGGCTAGCTCAGTAGCTTGATTTTTTCAGTAGTATGCGTACATGTATGTTGCAACCTATGTTGTATTTGCATTATTTAGGAGCCAAACAGCTTTATAGAAATGTAAAAAAAAATAAAAAATACCAGGGCAATGTGAGAAATTGCATTTACTGTTTGTTACAAGAAAAATTGTGTGGCCTACGAAGATGGTCTTTTTTTATGAGAAATCTGTACATTTAAAAAAAAATGAATACTTTCCTTAAAATGTAGAGTGACATATGCCTCCAATCCACTACATCAATGAAACTACTTCTAACTGCCCATTTAAGCAATCATATAATCTAGGTAAAGATTTATACAGTATCTGTCTGACTTTTTTTTTTCTTCCAGATCAGAGACTAAATGCGGCACTCAGACAGCATCAAGCAGAGAACCTTCTGAGAACTACCTCTGTGCAAGTATGTTACTCAGGGCTTGTCAACACTGAGGATATTTACATTAGTGTAAGCCCTCAGTATAGGTGCATTGCACAAATGTAAAAATAAGTTTCACCAGTACAAGTTAGGCTGGTTTGAAATGTGCAAGTCATTCACCTCTGTGAATAAGTCCATTGCAGGCCTCTGCTGTTGCTGGTAGGTTTCCCAAACAGCAGTTCAGTGAAAGTGATGTGATTGTCTTGTCAGTTTCACTGTTAAGCAATAGGTTCTGAATGGCAGCAAAACTCACAAAACAGTGATTGGTTGGTGGGGTTGTTTTGCTCTGAGCAGCAGCAGAAACATTGGAACTGTGTGCAGATTTAGGGAGATCACAATACATCAGTTTAACCATTCAAATGTGAAAGGAGTATATTTGCAACCATAAGGGCTAAAAAGTTTTTTGTTTATATTTCATGAAAGCTTAATTTCTGCAGAAGTTGATGGTATATGCCCTGGAAAGATTCCTAGTTGCCCCAGTTCTTTTCAAGCCTTGCCTTTATAAGAAAGAATAATTAGCCCAACTCTTAGATTTGTGTATATGTAGCATGCACACTTCTGACATTATATACAGAGTTAAGTTGTTAGATTAGCTGCTATCCTTTTTTGCCATTTTTCTGTGAATGACTGTTGTGCCTACCTCTATCCAGAAGTGAATATAGAAATCATATGTAGTCTCACTAGCATAGTGGATTCCTTGCTCTGTGATGTGATATGTCTGTCTATGTATGCATCCCAAGACACATCTAGAATTCCAGTGACAATTTTCTTTCAGATTCCACAGGAATTCTAAAAATTAGTTTATTGTGCATACATGCCTAAAACTGAACATGTGGGATATGATTTAAGTTTTGATTCTACTCCATTTGTACTCAAGTTCTTTATAGATTTGAGCTCTGAAGTCAAGTTAAGAACTTCCAGTTTTGTGCATTAATGTGCAAACTACTCTGTTACAGAAAAATGTCCTAAGGGGTGATGACACTCTGAAACCCTGGCTGACTGACCAAAGGTAATCCTATTTTCCATAGTTTAGAATGAGTAATATTTTCAGATTTTTTTAAATGAACTATTTAAAAACTGTCATGTACTCTAATAGTAGGGCATGGCCATTTTCAGCAGGTAACTTAGTTGTTTTATACATTTCTAATCATGAAAGTGTAAATAAAATGAATTTAGAAGGTATGATTATATGCTGGATTAAGTATCTTTAGCAATCTCCCTCTCCTTTTAATAAAAAAACAAAACAAGACACACACAAACTCCAAAGAATCCACTTAACTAGCCCTTGGGAGGAAAGAAATTGGAAGCTGTACATGGAAGAGAGACTATTTCCTCTGTGTCAGAATCATAGAAATGTAGGGCTGGAAGAGACTTCAGTAGGTCATCTAGTACAGTCCCCTGCACTGAGGCAGGACTAATTTATCTAGATCATCCCTGTCAGGTGTTTCTCATGTGTTTTTAAAAAATCTCCAGTGACTGAGATTCCGCAACCTCCCGCATTGTTCCAGTGCTTAACTACAGTTACAGTTAGGAAGTTTTTACTAGTGTCTAACCTAAGTCTCCCTTGATGCAATTTAAGCCCATTACTTTGTGTCCTGTCCTCAGTAGTTAAGGAGAACAATTTATCACCCTTCTCTTTATAACCACCTTTTATATACTTGAAGACTTATGTCCCCGCGCAGTCTTCTCTTCCTTTAGACTAAGCAAACCCATCTTTCAGCCTTTCCTGGTAGGTCATGTTTTCTAGACCTTTATTTTTGTTGCTCTGTCTTGGACTTTCTCCAGTTTGTCCACAGTTTTCCTAAAGTGTGGCTCCCAGAACTGGACCCAATAATCCAGTTGAAGCCTTATCAGTGCTGAGCAGAGTGGAAGAATTACTACTTGTCTTGGTTACAACACTCTTACTAATACATCCCAGTATTATGTTTGCTTCTTTTTTTTTTTTTTTTTTTTTAATACAACAGTATTATCTTGTTGACTCATTGAGTTTGTGATCCCCTGTAATCTCTGGTCCTTTTCTGCAGTACTCCTTACCAGGCAGTCATTTCCCATTAGTGTAATGGTGCATCACTAGTACTTCACTTCAAGATTGCAATAGAAATCACATTGAGTCTGTTAGGGTTGCACCTGAATGAAAACAGCAAACAAAATTGAGTTAATAAAACTTGCCTCACTGGTGTTTATGGATACTTCTTATTTCTTAATTGCAGACATTCAGGCAACCATGTTTTTATATTCAAAAATGTTCACTTAAAGCTAACATGTCCAGAATAAATATTTACAAGAATGTTCACACCAGAAGTGGTTTCTTGGTCATTTTGGAGAGCTCTAGGGTAATTACTTAAGCTAAATCAAACAAATACAACTCTTCTTGGATAATTTGTAAACAAAGAAGATGGGAGTGGAGAAAAGGGATCCCTATTTATAAAGCCTAGGTCATCCAAAGAGGGAACAGAAGCAAAAAATCGCATAACTTAAGTGATCGTTCACATGGCACAAATAGTTAATGTTTATATCCACCAGTTTCTGAACAATAGGAAAAATATGGTTTATGTAGCTTATTTGCTGAACAGTTTTGACTAATAAAAGTGTTGCATGATTTTTGTTCATTTGGTGCTCAATATAGTCCTTATGATGTTTATCACAATGGTCTATGCACTTCTAGCTGTTTGCTGTTACATTTACTGTTGTTAATACATGTTAGACAGGCTACCCCATTTTCCAAAATGGAGTTCAGGCAAAGGATAACTCAGACTCCGTACTGGGGAAGCTTCTTTATGGAACTTTGGCAGGAAAGAAGCCAACAGACATTTTGAATTAGTTCCAATTTATCTCAGAATTTTGGCATGTGAGTCTTTAAAAATTAAATTAGTCTGAGCACCCTTTGCTCAGGGGATGTCCGTTTATAGAGACAGTCAAGGTGCAGTCTTTTTGCGCTGCGTCAGACCAAAACCTCTGGACCAGGCAATCGGTTCAAGATTATTAGCAGCCATAAAGAAGTTAAAGACTGTTAACATCAAGTCACTTACCTTCAACATCGTGGTGTTTCTGAGTTCCAACATCTTACCTTTGGAACCAGTTGCCAGGATCCTGAGGGCTCTCCCCTTCAGTCCCACGATTTCAGCTTCCAGATCCCTGGAGCCCGTCGATCACCTGTGAAGACAAGTGCATCTTAACCTCATTCCTGCTGGTTGAGAAAACCTAGAGCAGTGGTTTTCAAACGTTTTTTCTGATGACGCAGTTGAAGAAAATTGTTGATGCCCGTGACCCAGTGGAGCTGGGGATGAGGGGTTTGGGGGGGGGGGGGCGCTCAAGGCTGAGGCAGAGGGTTGGGGTGCAGGGGTGAGGGCTGCAGGGTGGGGCCAGGAATGAGGGGTGCAGGGTGTGGGAGGGGGGCTCTGAGCTGGGGCAGAGGATTGGGATGTGGGGGTGAGTGGGCGGGCTTGGGGATGAGGGGTTTGGGGTGTAGGAGGGGGCTCTGGGTTGGGGGGCTCAGGGCTGGGACACGGGATTGGGGTGCGGGCTTATCTCAGACAGCTTCTCATCAGCAGCACAGCAGGGGTACCAAGGCAGGCTTCCTGCCAGTCCTGGCACCGCTGACCGTGCTGCACCCTGGAAGCGGCTTGCAGCACATCCAGCTCCTAGGCCGAGGCACACAGGCAGCTCTGCTCAGCTCTTGCCCGCAGGCACCGCCCCCCGCTCCCTGTTCTCATTTTTACTGCTCTTAAATAAATCTGTTTCGGAAAAATCCTCTCTCCGTCTCTTTTGTCCACTATACCACACAAGGGAGGTGGAAGGCACACCAGCTTCTATCTAACCCCAGTTCATAGATCTGGAGGGGTGAAAAGATCCTGCTGCTGAAACCAGAATTGTAGCTGGTCTATTTACTCTGAGTTTCAGGTTAACAAAAGTATGTGTAAAAATTCCAGCCTGTTCACAAAGTGTGATCTTATATTTAAGGCAGTTGACTGGAACTTGGGAGTTACAAGTTCACTACCTAGCTCTGTCACTGACATCCTGTGTCACTTTGGGAAAATTGCTTAATAGTTCAGGTCTCAGTTCCTGTCTGTAATATGGAGAGAAGAAAGGATAGGTTGTCTATTCAGTTTATAAAGTTTGAGGCAGGTATTTGTACAGTGAATAGCACCAGAGGGCTTCCGTCTCCCTTGGGGTCTCTAGCACTGCTTTGTCTGAATAGAAGAAAAAGTAAAATAGGTTATTTAGGAGAATTAGTATCAATTAGAATCGTAGGACTGGAAGGGAGCTTGAGAGGTCTTCTAGTCCAGTCCCCTGCACTCAAGGCAGGATTAAGTATTGTCTAGACCAGTGGTTCCCAAACTTGTTCCGCCACTTGTGCGGGGAAAGCCCCTGGCGGGCCGGGCTGGCTTGTTTACCTGCTGCGTCCGCAAGTTTGGCTGATCGCGGCTCCCAGTGGCCGTGGTTTGCTGCTCCAGGCCAGTGGGAGCCGCTGGAAGCAGTGGCCAGTACGTCCCTTGGCCCGCACCTCTTCCAGCAGCTCCCACTGGCCTGGAGCAGTGAACCGTGGTCACTGGGAGCCGCGATCGGCCGAACCTGCGGACATGGCAGGTAAACAAACTGGCCTGGCCCACCAGGGCCACAAGTGGCGGAACAAGTTTGGGAACCACTGGTCTAGACCATGCCTGACAAGTGTTTAACCTGCTCTTAAAAATCTCTAATGACAGAGATTCCACAACCTCCCATAGGCAATTTATAGAATGGATCTCTGTAGATATGACTTCATATAGACAATGGGGCAAACTGAGTAGTGATTTTTAAACAGTAGATCAAATTGCTTGTGGTTGCCAATTGGTCAATAAGCAAGTGTGAAAAACTTGAACTGTTGGAGAAGAAAGAACTATAGTAGAAAAAAACTACTAGGAAGAAAAACAACATGTGAATGAAAGTGCATTATTTTACACCCTCCTTATAGTTGATGTTCCTGCTTTGTTTCTTGCACATACAAGAGTACAGTTTATGGTCTATATGTTAAATCTTAAGTTTTTCCCTTTTCTAGTGTTTCACTCTATAATGTTGCATTAACATCACTTTTGCAGTTAAAGTAGCTTAATTTTGATAGCCGAAAACTAAGTTTTGCAAATGCGCTTAAACTTTGCATTACATTTTTCTTTAATGACAGGTTTCAGAGGAACAGCCGTGTTAGTCTGTATTCGCAAAAAGAAAAGGAGTACTTGTGGCACCTTAGAGACTAACCAATTTATTTGAGCATGAGCTTTCGTGAGCTACAGCTCACTTCATCAGATGTATACCGTGGAAACTGCAGCAGACTTTATATACACACAGAGAATATGAAACAATACCTCCTCCCACCCCACTGTCCTGCTGGTAATAGCTTATCTAAAGTGATCATCAGGTGGGCCATTTCCAGCACAAATCCAGGTTTTCTCACCCTCCACCCCCCCACACAAATTCACTCTCCTGCTGGTGCTAGCCCATCCAAAGTGACAACTCTTTACATAATCAAGTCGGGCTATTTCCTGCATAGATCCAGGTTTTCTCACATCCCCCCCACCCCCATACACACACAAACTCACTCTCCTGCTGGTAATAGCTCATCTAAACTGACCACTCTCCAAGTTTAAATCCAAGTTAAACCAGAACATCTGGGGGGGGGGGGGTAGGAAAAAACAAGAGGAAACAGGCTACCTTGCATAATGACTTAGCCACTCCCAGTCTCTATTTAAGCCTAAATTAATAGTATCCAATTTGCAAATGAATTCCAATTCAGCAGTTTCTCGTTGGAGTCTGGATTTGAAGTTTTTTTGTTTTAAGATAGCGACCTTCATGTCTGTGATTGTGTGACCAGAGAGATTGAAGTGTTCTCCGACTGGTTTATGAATGTTATAATTCCTGACATCTGATTTGTGTCCATTTATTCTTTTACGTAGAGACTGTCCAGTTTGACCAATGTACATGGCAGAGGGGCATTGCTGGCACATGATGGCATATATCACAGTGGTGGATGTGCAGGTGAACGAGCCTCTGATAGTGTGGCTGATGTTATTAGGCCCTGTGATGGTGTCCCCTGAATAGATATGTGGGCACAATTGGCAACGGGCTTTGTTGCAAGGATAAGTTCCTGGGTTAGTGGTTCTGTTGTGTGGTATGTGGTTGTTGGTGAGTATTTGCTTCAGGTTGCGGGGCTGTCTGTAGGCAAGGACTGGCCTGTCTCCTAAGAGCATTTATTTGAGCATAAGCTTTCATGCATCCGATGAAGTGAGCTGTAGCTCACGAAAGCTTATGCGCAAATAAATTTGTTAGTCTCTAAGATGCCACCAGTACTCCTTTTCATTTTTCTTTAAGTTGATGTGCATACTTTAGTCAAATGAATAACCTTTGGTTATTATTTTTAATCTTATAGTTCCATCAGGAAGTAGAGAAAAACACTCTTTTTGGCTCAGGTTGAATAGTAGTTAAGGGCATTTCTGTAAAACCAGGTAATTACCAGAACACTGCTGCAACTATAATTATCTTATGCATTTCTTTCACTTTTAGCTTACTGTTCCCTCTCATTTCTGAGTATGATAAACATCTGGAGGAAATGAGTGAACAGCTGCAGTATTATCAGGTATGAATCATACCACCAGAAATGTATGTTTGTTATTTATTAAGAAAAAACGTGCAATTCAATATTTAAAGTTTTATCTCTCTCCATTTAAAAATTAGGAAATAAAATTGTAAGTGCCAATATTAAGAGGAACTAAGTCAATACGAGGTGGGACTGTAAATCTTGTAAATGAAGTGTTTGCTTCAATATTAAGCACCAACATTCTTATAATCTGAAGATAAAGTAGACCAGAAACTAGTTTATAGCTTTGTACATGGTGTGCTCAAATTACAACCTTCTAGAATTACCTTAATTTTAGAGCACAGTGGCTGCCATCAGTAGTAATATTTCAGTCCTCTAGTACTAATAGCTTACTGCACTAATTTCCACAGAAGGAAACTGTTTTGTACTACCTTTTGAAGTTTTACTAGGGTACTGCCTTTTTTGAAGGGAGAGGTGGATTTTTATGAAAAGAAATTGAGTATGCCCAGCCTGCCCAATATATTTCTATGCTCTTGGAAATGGCATTGAGAGACTAAATATGCCCATTGACGTATTCCTGCTGCCACATTAGGTAGGAGTGGCAAGAATCCTATCTAGTGAAATATTAAATATTAGCTTGAGTTCTTAAACTGAGTTCATTACACAGGAACACCCACATTAAACTCTGAAAACCAAATTTAGTGATGACTTTGCTACTGCTGTGTGTAGCTGTTCACTTGTAACACTATACAATGTTTGTAACATTTATGCAAGATGTTTTATTGTATTATAAAACTTGTATATGATCTACCCGTTAATTCTCTTGCAAAAATAAAAATCACTTTTACACAATTGTCCATCTTTAAACATAGCTAGTCAGAAATAAAAGTTAAGTTTGTGAAAGTTAAAGGAATGGTATTTCAGTGTGTGACTTTACTGCTTAAAGGCCCTTTGATTTAAATGTGAAATTTCACTGTCAAATTTTACTCTCTCAGGCACAGATGGGCGAGATGAGACTAAAACTTGAACAAGTCACCAAGGAAAATGAAAGGTAAATTTAATTGATTAATATATTACTAAAAAAATTTCTAGGGACCTGGAGATAAACCTCTGAACCTTTGTACTGTGGCCAAAATTTTCATACTTGCACGTTTAAACTTAGGCTCTTAGGTGTTGAAATGTGTGTTAAGGCACCCAGGTTTGGAAATCTGGGCTATGTATATACATAATAAATGAGGAATAAAACACATTTGGTTGTTTAGAAGTCAGTGTATACATTTCTTGTGTATTTTAAAGTGTGCATTTTTTTAAAATATGCATATGTTAAAACATTTGTGATGTTCGTAATTGAGAATAGACTCCAGACTGGCTTGTCTTTTTCCTGCTTCTCTATAGCAGGTTGTCTCTTCCGCGATCTCTGCTTCCAATGTACCCTGGCTTCTGGGATTCTACATTTGTTCCTATCCTCTCTCTCCTCCACACACCTTTTGACACTAATTTTTACACTATTAATGTTCCCAGAAATACAGATGCAGTCTTGCGAATATAACAATATAGTGTTCACTATCCATTAAAGTCAATGAGACTATTCATGAAAGTAAGAACTGTACACAGTGTTGCCATGATCAGCATTATGTCATCAGCAAATCTGCCATCTGCGAATACCTCTAACATCAGCACATTCTTGTGGTGTCTCACCAGGTGAATGAGGGGGAAATCTACCATGGGCATAGATTCTGGGTCATGACCAGCTCCAGGTTGAACCTTCAGTCTCACTCTATATGGTGCCTTCCCTGCTCCCAGCTCTGTTACAAAACATACTCTATTTCAACCTCCCAGCAGCAAAAGATAGGAGTTCACATCAGAGCTCTATTAAAGCCTTTCTTGATTAGCAGTTGTAGTCACTGAGCCACATTAACAAAATTTGAGTGGGTGACATCATATTCAACCAAGATGCTTAAATCAGAAAATTAATACATTCAGTGCTCATATTAAGAGAAATGTTGGTGTTGAGAAAAATGCTTAGCTGGCATCCCGGCTGGACCCTCTGTCATGTCCACTTTATTAATACCTTTGTAATTTATAATAAATGTAGAATGTACTTTTCAAGAGTGATATGCTTTACATAAAAATACATGTTCAGTTCATTTCTCTTGGTGGACATACACACCAATGTATTGAACTTTCAACATTCTTATGTTAGTGTGCAAGTGTCTTCTGATATCTGTTGATTGCTAATAAACTAATAAAACTGAAAATCAGAGATGATAGACCAGCAGAAAATGTTTGTGGTGATCTAAGAAAATCACTGTGGTATATGCTCTCCCAATAACCATTGCTGTGCTGTAAAGTAATTCAATTTAGTTCACGTGATCTCTTATTGCATAAATATAAGCTATTTTCAGTGTGACAGGTGTGCAGGGTGAGAGATAATCAAGCATGTAGTTTATTACATGACAGATTTTCTCCACTTCAGTTGTAGAATTTACATTTGTTTTCCCAGGTATGCATGTTATATGCAAATTATTCTGTTGACTATCAGATATTAAAACACATCTGGCCTTCAAAATATACTGTCGCTTTAAATGGTGACATTCTTATCAGCTATGAAGGAACACAGATCAGACAGCAAAGAGACAAGGAAATCCAAGAGGTAGCTGGGGGGGGGGGGGCGGCTGCAGGAGAGGCCTAGTGCAAATTGAAACAAATTAATAGTTAAATTATTTACACAAGCCTCTGCTTGACTTAGCATGTAGCAGTCACTATGACATTTCTGCTGATTTTGGTGTAAAAACTGTATTTGCTATGTGAAGTAGCAATACGTTTTGCTGAGAAGTGGTTATATTTAATGTGTATGCATACATAAAGTTAAAAGGCAAGTTAACTTGTAATATAGTTAAGTATTTTCAAATACTGCAACTGGCCCTGGGACTCCTTGCCAATTTTTGTAGTTTAAAAAAAAAAACGGGGGAGGGGTGAAGTATGTTTCTCTCTTCTGTTGCTGTGTGAGAGGGCAACTTATAGAAGAGGAGTAGATTAAACTATGCAGGGGAAACAGTATAACTGTAAATTTTCAGGCTTTTTAATCTTTTGCATATGTAGATCTTTTTCTGTAACCTTTTATACTAATCTTGGGTATTGCTTCTAAAACAGTAAATACAAGTGAAATATAAGCGGGATTTGAGTTGACTGTCCCTGTATGTCTTAATTCTTCAAAAGAAAGGAGCAGGGTTACTTATGATTATCAGAGTAACATTGGAAACCTACCCTTTGTAAGTGAGCAGTGCAATAAAGATACTGTGTAACTGAAATCTAGTCTTAAAGTATTTATACTACTACTTCATGACGTTTTTTCTGTCTGTTTAGGCAGACAACTGCCATTAATGACAATGGAAATTATGCTAATGTATTAATAATCATTTGGCACTTATTATCAAAATACTGTTCAAATGGAAAATAGTCTAAAACTTTCAGTTAATTTTAAAGCATTTGCAGAAATATTCAGGTATCAGGATTCTTTAAGAGGGCTTGAAAAAAATCTATTCATTCAGAGCAAGTATTTTTGTGTTAGTGCCATTAGCATCTGCAGAATCTTCAATTTTAAAAAAAACATTTCTGGCTCTTATGGTTGTATCTGCATATCACTCTTGATTAATCTCTACTCTGAGGGCAGCATGGGAGGGAAGCTTTAACTGCCTCAACGGAGGTGGCCTAGACCTAATTGATTTGGGGTGGGGAGCAGCATTAATTGGAGGCCCAGAGTACAACCAGCCGTAATCTGGAGTCTTTAGACTCAAACAATATGGGATTCCCAAACTAAGAGATTGAATGGGTCCAATTCAGGGCACCTGTGTATTTGGGTAAGCTCAGTCCTTCAGCAAACAGATATGGATAAACTTTTCAAGGCCTGTTAACTGATTTGACAGACACCTCTTTAGATAAATTTTATATGTGTGCAGTTGGAGGTCTATCATTGGGGACAATGTATACCTTCAAATCACCGGCACTGCTATGGATACCCGCATGGCCCCATAGTATGCCAACATTTTTATGGCTGACTTAGAACAATGCTTCCTCAGCTCTCGTCCCCTAATGGCCCTACTCTACTTGCGCTACATTGATGACATCTTCATCATCTGGACCCATGGAAAAGAAGCCCTTGAGGAATTCCACCATGATTTCAACAATTTCCATCCCACCATCAACCTCAGCCTGGACCAGTCCACACAAGAGATCGACTTCCTGGACACTACGGTGCTAATAAGTGATGATCACATAAACACCACCCTATGCCGGAAACCTACTGACCGCTATGCCTACCTACACACCTCCAGCTTTCATCGAGACCACACCACACGATCCATCGTCTACAGCCAAGCTGTATGATACAACCGCATTTGCTCCAACCCCTCAGACAGAGACAAACACCTACAAGATCTCTATCATGCATTCTTACAACTACAATACCCAGCTGCTGAATTGAAGAAACAGATTGAAAGATCCAGAAGAGTACCCAGAAGTTACCTACTACAGGACAGCCCAACAAAGAAAATAACAGAATGCCACTAGCCATCACCTTCAGCCCCCAACTAAAACCTCTCCAACGCATCATCAAGGATCTACAACCTATCCTAAAAGACAACCCATCACTCTCTCAGATCTTGGGAGACAGGCCAGTCCTTGCTTACGGACAGCCCCCCAACCTGAAGCAAATTCTCACCAGCGACCATACACCACACAACATAACCACTAACCCAGGAACCTGTCCTTGCAACAAAGCCTGTTGCCAACTGTCTCCACATATCTATTCAGGGGACACCAGTATAGGGCCTAATCACATCAGCCACACTATCAGAGGCTCGTTCACCTGCACATCTACCAATGTGATATATGCCATCATGTGCCAGCAATGCCCCTCTGCCAAGTACATTGGCCAAACTGGACAGTCTTTACGTAAAAGAATAAATGGGCACAAATCAGACGTCAAGAATTATAACATTCAAAAACCAGTCGGAGAACACCTTCAATCTCTCTGGTCACTCGATTACAGACCTAAAAGTGACAATTCTTCAACAAAAAAACTTCAAAAACAGACTCCAACGAGAGACTGCTGAATTGGAATTAATTTGCAAACTGGACACCATTACATTAGGCTTGAATAAAGACTGGGAATGGATGTGTCATTACACAAAGTAAAACTATTTCCCCATGTTTAATTCCCCCCCTACTGTTCCTCACATGTTCTTGTCAACTGCTGGAAATGGCCCACCTTGATTATCACTACAAAAAGTTTTTTTTTCTCTCCTGCTGGTAATAGCTCACCTTACTTGATCACTCTGGTTACAGTGTGTATGGTAACACCCATTGTTTCATGTTCTCTGTGTATATAAATCTCCCCACTGTATTTTCCACTGCATATATCCGATAAAGTGAGCTATAGCTCACGAAAGCTTATACTCAAATCAATTTGTTGGTCTCTAAGGTGCCACAAGTACTCCTTTTCTTTTTGCGGATACAGACTAACACGGCTGCTACTCTGAAACCTGTCATTCGAGTGTCTCTGGGGTGAAGAGCGGATTACAAATTTAAGGCCAAATCCTGCTGCCCTTAATAATGCCAATAATCCTAATAGACATGAATAAGGTCTGTGGTATCTGTTTATTACACAGTTGATCAGGAGTTTAAGTAGCACTTACATATCTTTCATCAATGTGTAGAAAATAGTACTGTAGCACAGGGAGGCCTAGAATGGGCTAGCTGTCCCAAGTACAAACCTGCCCAGACCCTGTGGGTATGTACATGGGGCAGCTAGCCCATGTTTCTGCTGCCCATATTACCATGGCTATATTACTACTTTTTGCATGCTTGATTTTTCGCCCTCTCCATAGATGCAGATGGGGGTGCACATTTGTATCCTTCTGCATCAGTTGCTGCACACTACATGGAATTCATTTTCTCGTGGGTGGCAGAAACTGTCAGTCATTGTCCTCCTTTAACTGTTCCATCAATGGAGGACAGCCTTATGTCACAATCAGTGATTCACAGCAGCCCAGCAAATCACTGCATCCCCAGACACCCCAGCCATGGTACTTCTCCTATCCTTCTCTACCTAGCCAATGCTGCCCACTTTTGGGGGTTTTGTGGCTGACTAAGGCCAGCAGGCAAGGCAGGTGGATGTGGATGTGGATGCCTTGAAGGAAACTGAAGTTGCACAAAGCAGGCGCTCTCTGAGTGAGTCTCTCTGAGAGTTGACTTTTCCTCAATAAGGTCTTCTCTCAAACATACCCACACTTACACCAATACACAAACTAATCAATCCATTTATCTTACAGGCAAGTAAGGAAGGAGGATTTATTTTAGTTTTAAATGCTTGGGAGGTGCTTGATAGTGCAGTGAGGGGACTACTACCGCAGTTCTTCTTGGCAGTTACAAGGGCTGCCACTCTGAAAGAGAGTGGGACAATTTACATGAGGGAGATTATCTAGTAGGAAAAGCTACCACAAGATAATACTCCAGAACGCTGCCTTAGCATTTGGAAAAAAACAAGAGTCAAAATGTTATAATTTTAGAAGTTTGATCAATTTCATATGAAATTGATCAATGATTTTGATCATTCTGTAACATCCAAACTTTAGTTTAAAAATAAAGTTGCTAGTAGTCTCAACTGCAGTCCCTCTGGTACATTGCACAGTCACTGAAGTAATCTTTGGAGAGCAGAAATCATGTTCATTTCAATGGCAAACTCAAAGATCTACCTCTAGCCTTACAGAGCTCCACTCTTCTTCATTGGATAACAATTTATATTTTTTAAGCATATGCTATGATTTAAAAGCACATCCATCTTGCTTTCACCCAGAGTAATTCTGATCTCTTGACTAAATATACAGTTACTGCAAAAATTATGTTTACTGAAGATATGAAGGCCTTTATTTTTGCCTAAAACATCAAGGAAAAAACAATCAAAACATAAGTTGTAAAAGTCCTAGAAAAGCACCTGAAACCTTGAGTTTAATTTAGTCATCCCCCCCCGTCCCCCCCGTCTTTGGCTAACTTAGAAGTAAGTGTCTCTACATGCATGCACTTTCATGGAGGAAGAAGTTGGATAAGAGGCAGCAACATATGTGCTAGTATTCATGAGGAATGGGGTTAAAATGGAGACTCAGATTAGATCCTTAATACCACTGTTTTTCTACAATGTTAGTCTCAATGACAGGCAAAATTTATTTTTAGAAGCTGGCGTATTAGCACAACAAAAATGCTTGCAAAGCTATAGACTTCATTTTTAATAGCTGAACTTCAGGATGAAATAACCTGAGGACTTCTGTACAAGGGTCTTTAGTTTGCACCGGAGAGGTGTAAGATTTAGTCCATGCTCCACACTAACATGTCATTCATCGACTGGCTTGTATGGACCTGTTGTTGCGCACTAAGAATTCCCTAGGGCACATCAGTGTAGGCCCATTTCAAACATTATGTCAGTACGTACTAGGGAACTTTTAGTGCACACCGTCAGCGTGTACGTGGGCTAGTTAGTCACGACTGAAAATGTATACCCCTCTGGTGTGGACTAATGCACCATGTAGACAAGCCTTTAGTATTTAATGAGTTTCTTCTGGAGAGGAAAGCAAGGGTCTTGTATGAATTTGTTACCTCTTTGAGAAGATTAAACAATTTTACGATTTCTAACCTAATTTATAGTGAAATTCATGCTTTTTAAATTAGTCTTAATTTTTATAATATACTCAAAGATAATTACACATTAATTCAAAATATCAATTACATTTAGAAGGTGCACTGAAAATATAACTTGTTTTAAAGATTTAGTTGTAATCAATTTTACATTAATTGTACTTATGCTACGCCAAATGTTTTTTTTTTTAAATATTGTTGAAAAAGCAATGGTTTATTGCATTATTTGTGTCACAGGCTGCATGAGGAATTGAAAGAGGCTGTTGAGAAGCAGCTGGAGGCCCTTCCTTCTGGCATTCTCTTGGGGAGTGATGTGTTTGCAGATGAAGAAATAGTAAGAAACCTTCAAGATCAGTTACAACTAGCCAATCAAGTGAGTGATTTTAAAACACAGCTGCTACTTTATTTCTTTGGCTAATTCCTTTGCACATGGGGGAAAATGTCTCCATCAGTTGGTAAGGAATCCTTCTTCATAACCATCTTTTTTGGATTAGGAATATTAAAATACTCTTTACTGATTGTTTTGGGGGGAGAGGGGGTACAAAACTACAAACTGATAGTTTTGATTACCAGTCTGAAAGAGTTCTGAGTTTTGTACCCAGAAAGTTTGTGTTTTGTACTAATACTTAATTACTGTTTTTTTTTTTTCAATTCCCTACTAGAGAGGGGAAATAGTGATGAGGCAGGATGGTAAAGCCTTTCTACATCCACTGGTGAATATTTCAAGATGTATTCTCAATCATTTTTGGCAAACACTGGTCAAAAAGATAGTAAATGTGAAATGAGAAAATTTTGCATTGTTTGGAAGGTAGAAAATCAGAATTTAAAGCTAGAAAAGGCTAGGTTCTCTAATCTAAGATCATTACTATAACAGGCTGATGTTCTATCTTCTGTATACAAAGACCAAATTCTGCTGTTGCACAGGTGCAGCTCCTATAATTTCACTGGGTGTTGATCCACGTAATTGAGAGCTTATTTTAACTATTTGAATCAAATTTGGCTGGTTTTCAAACCTTTGTATATGTTGAATCAGACAGTCTCAGAACTCTTGGTAGAAGCCACATGTCGCTTCTAATTTAAACTTTTGAAAAGAGCTATGCTAAAAAAAAGGCAGAGTCTATTCAGTTCAGATCTTTACAATGACACGGTCATCTTAAGTCACACTTTCTTGAAACATTTTCATTTATCTAAAATTGGTATTTTGTGAATAGTCACAAAATGGGACTTCTGGTTTCAGTAGTAGAACCATGAATTATCATTGAATTCATCTATTTAAACAAACAAAAACACCCCATCTTGAGTCTGCTTTTTGGAGGCTGGGAAGGGAGAGAGAAAAGTGCATCAGGAGATCTTGGATGAGATCCATAAAAGTATCTAGAGAAATAAAATTCTGACTCCCTATGAAAACTACATCCCTATCAATACCAGCCATAGCGTAGTATGACTGTGGGTATGCTTTGGAAAGCTGTGTGTCTCCTACATTCGTTCAGTAAAAAAGATATCTAGTAGTCACTGTATCTTGATGGTGAAAGAATAGAAACAGGAAGTCACATTTACAGTACTTATATTAAATTTCTTTAATATAAAGGAAAAGGGTCCCTGTTTTTAAAGTGTTGTACATTAAGATAAACATGTTCTGCTAAGAGAATTTTATATATAATCTTTCTTGTTTTTAAACCTTCTAGGAAAAAGAGCAAGCACTGGAGCTCTGGCAGACAGTATCACAGGAACTAGATCAACTCCAGCAGCGATACCAGGGGCACATGACTGAAGCACAGATTCATGTGGTAGAAGGGCAAAAGCAAAAAGTAATTTTGATTGTATTGTTTCTTTTGTCGAGTCATTGTATTCTGGAGAAATTCAGGGCTGTAAGTAAGTCAAATTTAAAATGGTGTATATCACTAGTTAGCGATCTGCCACCAAATGTATTATAGCAATCATCTAAATATTATTTAATGGTCAGAGACAATTGTAGATTTCAGGTGCCACTCTTTTTTTGTTCTAATCCATATGGTACAGTTAGGCTATATTTCATGTGTCCATTGACAATCAGATGGGGAATGCATATTGCAGTAGGTGTGTGTGTGTGTATAAAGAACTACAATGAACTAGAGCAAGAATCAGTCATGTGGTTCTTCAGCACCTTTCAAAAATAAGTGTTTTTTTTGTTTGTTTTGTTTTTGTAAAGGTTCAGTTCATACCCCTGGCTGCACTGTTTAATTAGTGGTCTGTGGGCTAAATTGCAGCAGGGTGCTATATGTAGCTACCTGTCAGGAAATCCAAACTCCGCAAAGTGAATATGGGGTAGAAGGCATTGTTCATTTTTTCCCACATAACCTGTGAGAAAACTGCTGTACAGATCCTTTGTGACAAGAGTTACATAGAGGGTGTTCTGGAGTCAGGGAAGTGGTCCAAATGTTTATGCATGTTTGCATCTTGCTAGGTTTGTACCCATTTAGGAGGGAGGCATTATATATGACTGCTTAGAAATTGACCATAAGGCTTTAGACTCTTTTTTTCCCCAGTAGTAAATCTGTGATGTGACCAAAGATTTACCAGGTCGAATCCCACTAATAATCGAACTAAAATCCAAAAAATTAAAGTAACATTGACTGCAGATAACATAACATATATCTAATTTGTTGAAAATGCTTTTTAGTTGAACTTAAAATTCCTTTAGGATAATTACAAGCCCTTTATGATGATGATTATAAGCTCTGTATTTCCTATTTTAGAATCAGTTGGCTAGCTTTCAGCAACTGACTGAGCAACTTCGATTAGCCAATGAGAAAACAGAGTTGGTAAGTGATTCCATCTGGACAGTGCATTCATATTTTCAAACTATTAAATTGTTAGTTTATATTCTGGGGGGTATCAGGGTACTGTACTTGCCACAGGTGGCCCCTACTCCTGGCTGTTCTGGAGATGAACTCTCTTCTGGATCTGATGTCTCCCCTTGCTGTCTGCCCCCTCCCTGTTGTCCTTTCTCTCACTCTGCGGTCCCCCTCTCCCTCCAAGAACTGCAGTTTTCTCCAGGACTCAGCCGTCCAGCCAGGTCACTGTGTGGTTTCCCCTTCTGGGGTATAGAGGCTCACTGGACCTGCTGTCAAGGCAATGCCAATGCATCAGTGGCTGGTAGGGGAATCCAGGCTCACCCGCTTCTCCAGGTTCTAGCCCAGAGACCCTACAACATGCAGTGAAGGTCTGTTCGGTCTTCAACCTGGCTGCTCCCTACCCATCTCTCGTCTGAGTATGCCCCTCCATAAGGGGTCTACTCTTTCCCTTGGTTCCTTCCTTTCCTCTCCAATGCACAGAGAATGGCTATAGACTTCTTCACTGCAGCCATTTTTGTTATCAGCTTCTTGGCTTTATGCTCGCCCAGCCCACACCTGCTCACCTGAGCTTCATCTCTAATGAGGGGTTGCGTCTCCAGCCTAATGCCCTCATGTGCGGCCTATCACTCTAATTGGCCCTTGTCAAGGTTCCTCCCCCACTCTGAACTCTAGGGTACAGATGTGGGGACCTGCATGAAAAAACCTCCTAAGCTTATCTTTACCAGCTTAGGTCAAAACTTCCCCAAGGTACAAAATATTCCCCCCGTTGTCCTTGGACTGGCCGCTACCACCACCAAACTAATACTGGTTACTGGGGAAGAGCTGTTTGGACGCGTCTTTCCCCCCAAAATACTTCCCAAAACCCTGCACCCCACTTCCTGGACAAGGTTTGGTAAAAAGCCTCACCAATTTGCCTAGGTGACTACAGACCCAGACCCTTGGATCTTAAGAACAATGAACAATCCTCCCAACACTTGCACCCCCCCTTTCCTGGGAAATGTTGGATAAAAAGCCTCACCAATTTGCATAGGTGACCACAGACCCAAACCCTTGGATCTGAGAACAATGAAAAAGCATTCAGTTTTTTACAAGAAGACTTTTAATAAAAAATAGAAGTGAATAGAAATAAAGAAATCCCCCCTGTAAAATCAGGATGGTAGATATCTTACAGGGTAATTAGAGTCAAAAACATAGAGAACCCCTCTAGGCAAAACCTTAAGTTACAAAAAAGATACACAGACAGAAATAGTTATTCTATTCAGCACAATGCTTTTCTCAGCCATTTAAAGAAATCATAATCTAACACATACCTAGCTAGATTACTTACTAAAAGTTCTAAGACTCCATTCCTGGTCTATCCCTGGCCAAGACGACTACAGACAGACACAGACCCTTTGTTCCTCTCCCTCCTCCCAGCTTTTGAAAGTATCTTGTCTCCTCATTGGTCATTTTGGTCAGGTGCCAGCGAGGTTACCTTTAGCTTCTTAACCCTTTACAGGTGAGAGGAGCTTTCCCCTGGCCAGGAGGGATTTCAAAGGGGTTTACCCTTCCCTTTATATTTATGACAGCCCTTTCTCACCTTCATTAACCCTTTCAGGATTAGTGTGGAGTGAATGTCCCATCACAGGGGATTGCCAATAAAGGAAAACATAAAGACACCAAAAGAAAAAGAGTACTTGTGGCACCTTAGAGACTAACCAATTTATTTGAGCATAAGCTTTCATGAGCTACAGCTCAAAGGATGCTGTAGCTCACGAAAGCTTATGCTCAGATAAATTTGTTAGTCTCTAAGGTGCCACAGGTACTCCTTTTCTTTTTGCAAATACAGACTAACACGGCCTCTACTCTGAAACCTGTCATAAAGACACCAGACATTACATGTCCAGTAACATGACGCATAACATGCTGTCCTTGGATAATGTCATATAATTTACAATCAATTGGATCTTATCATAAATTGTCTTAATTGGTGTTTTTTTTGCTCTGGAAGAATACCTTACTGTGTAAACTAGGTTGTGTTACTCCCTTCCCCAGTAATTAATCTAGCGAGTAGCCCATCCAGAAAGCCTTACAGCTCTGAGACAACTTAAAGTTGTCTTCTTCCTTCCTTCCTGTATCTACCTTATGAAAAGAGCATAGGATTTGTCCTCTGTATAATATGGAGCCTGTGTTATCGATATTCTTCCCTTTCTAAACTTCAGAGTTTGTTTACTACAGATGGAAGTGTTAGGAATAAATCTTTTTTTTTTTTTTTTATTTCTGGAGTTAGCTAAACTTTAGTTTGATTACTTTACATTTTTTGGCCTTTGTGACTTGACCAAGACCACAGATGGGGTCTGTCAGAGCTGGGAGTTGTCCTTTATTCGCAGTCCCATCGGCTGTACTGACTTCCGTGCTGCTGACCACTCTTGGCTGCTCAGCAGAAGAGTTTTTTCAGCCACAGGCAGCCAGCTGGTAGGAAGCTTGTGGTAGTCTTGTGCAATCCTTGGGTGGCTGTGGGGTAAACAATAATTTGTGATCTCTAGGAGAAATTGGTGACAGGCTTTCATCCTAGTGTATAGTTTGCATTATGTTTAATCTGAGACTTGAAAATGTGAACATCTTCGCAAGGAAAAGGCAAGAAAGTTATTTTGTTTCAAAAGAAAACTAAGTTTGTCCAGCACATTTCTAGGTCTCCCATAATTACAGGTCATATAGGCCAGTTCTCCACCACATTTACCAGTGTTTTATAAGGTTTGTCACAGATGACATTGATGTCCTTGCCATTTACAGTCAGTCTTTTTAGGGTTATTTTTTTGGCTTGTGCTTCTGGGGCTTTGAAACCACCTTTTCCACTCTTGCATGTTGGCTTCTGCTCCAGTTAGCTGTAGGTCATGTTTTTCAAAAGTGGCTAGCAATTTTGGGTGTCGCATTTGAGACACCATAAAGGGGCTTGATTTTTTTTTCAAGGGATTTGTGTTCCACACTTCCTGAAAATTAGACTTCTACAAGGTATCTCAGGTTGAGCATCCCAAACTGCTAGTCAGTTTGAAAAACTTGCCTTAGTGCATGGTTGAGCCTTGGCTTTCTGGTTTGTAATTTGACCTCATGATAATCAGTGGGTTTTTCTCTTTTCCTCACTTTCTGTATTCCCCCATCCCTTTAAGAAAAAGGTGAGATCAAAGCACACAGGTGTTGGGAATCAGAAGTAATTGCCACGAAGGAATTGCAGAGGGAAAATGGTGAGAGGCAGACAGGGAAGAGAGAGAAACAGGAGTATGGGAAAGGAAGTGAAGTAAAAGGGAAGAAATAGCAGTGGTTGTAAAGGTGAGCATATGTTCCTACAGAGTCATGTTAAACACAACAATAAGGTACATAATAGATTATGTCTGGGGTTCCAAATGTGTAACTGTCTCCCAGCAGATGGACCCTGTGCCAGGTAATGCCATATTGAGTTCTTTGGGGCTCCACATGGATTAAAATGTCAGTTTATCTGGTGACAATTACAGGATCAGGGCTCGAAAGTTCAGTTACTACATAAAGGCCATATTCTATCCTAGGTGTTTGTGCAAGCCTCCTGTTGATGTCAGTGGGAGTCCCTGTGATGGTTCTTAGGGCATTCAGGACTATGAGTCACCTTGTTACCCCCCTGCTTCCAGTAAGAGGGAGACTTGCTGGTGCTTAATTGCTTGTCAGCTCCCTGACACCAACTGCCTGTTAGCTACCCATACGATCTACTCTGGGTATGCCAGCTCTGACTTTGCCTTGCAGGTTAACAGTAGGTATACACAAGTTCCTTTGAAGGATTCCCCTAAAGGGTCTGGCCCCTTATCCACTGAACACCGACAGATATACCAGGTTTACCGACAGATATACAGTGTACACACTAGCTTGAATGATTCAACTCAGGATCATCTCCTTGTATAAGACCACAGCACTGAGATATAGTTATAGTGAAAACAACAAAAAGTTTTATTATCAAAGGTTCAAGAATCAAGAGATGGTGAGAAAGGATAATGGAAACAAAAGCATTACATATAAAACAAAATCATAATGTGATTTTTCTAAACTTAACAGGCTAACTTTCTGTCTAAAGAACTTTCTCTGACTCAAATGTCCTTCGCAGCCTTTCAACTAAGCCTGGTTGAGATCCTGTTTTCATGAATGTAATCATATTACCCGATTACTTCCTAGGTGCAGGTTAAAGAGATGTTTTTCTTGCCTTCTCCTTATATTCACCAAAGTTCATCGTATACCTCAGAGTCAGGATGACCCCTGTAGTTTATTTTCCTGCCTCCATATTGATTTTACATTGCCTGCTGAGTTGATATGTAGATGAACCGCCATTGTGTTGGCTTACAATACCTAACTTACATGTCAACAGGTGAATAAATATCTCTTGTGTGACAGAACCTGTTTTGTGAACTCTGGCCTGATACAGACTTTAGAAACATATTTTCAGCATGCATGCGTAACTCCTAACATAGTATCTGTACATACATTTCACAATGATATTAATGAACAGTATGATCCCGGCTTTCATTTATGACCTCACATGATGATGATCTTCGGTGAACCAGAATATACATATCGGGATTAGAATATTTTTATAATCCCATTGGCACTGAGAGGTTCATGGGTCATAGTTAGGTTCATGGGTCATATATTTTAGTCATGGGTATTTTTAGTAAAAGTCATGGACAGGTCATGGGCAGTAAACAAAAATTCATGGCCTGTGACCTGTCCATGACTTGTACTATATACCACTGACTAAATCGTGGGTGCTGGGGGGGGTGGGGTAGGGGGCAGCCCGGGGGCACCCTGGGTGCTCTGGGGGGGCTCACAGCCTGGGGGTGCCGCGAGTGCTCTGGATGAGCCGTGCAGCAGTGTGTGGCCCGGGACCCTCACCAGTGCTGGAGTGGGCAGTGATGCATGGCCCGGGACCCCTGCTGCTGGTGAGGGGGTGCGACGGCCCAGGACCCCCTTTGCTGCTGCGGGCAGGGATGCGGTGGTCCAAGACTGCCTCAGCAGCGGCTGGTACGGCTGACCCTCGGGCTGCCCAAGCTCCTCAGGCAGCCCCGGAGTCAGCCACACTCGCTGCTGCAGAAGTCATGGAGGTCCCGGAAAGTCACGAAATCTGTGACCTTCTTGACAGACTCACAGCCTTAGTCCCATTATAGACTGAGGGCGTTAGGTGTATTAGTGTTTTTTACCTCCATCCACAGACCATAATTCAAAATGGGATTTGGCTTTTTCCACAAAATAAGTTTGATGATACTTTTTAAACTACACTAGTTAAATATTATAAAATGTCTGTAAACAGAAATTTTCTGAAGCTTAAGTAATGTCCATATAATGTTTTGTGATGCTCCAAAAATTGTTCTATAACTTCAAATAGTTATCAGGTGAAAAATATTTCTGATTTATGTAGCAAATAGATGGTTTTCTAATTTAATCAAGCCATAATTTAAGAGAAGAGCTTAAACTGAGAGTTTGAAATTCTTTAAAGATAGTATTTTCTGTACCTCTAGTCACAGTAGTTACTCTACCTTAACAGGATGCCTGATAAAAGAGTAAATGCATTAATGAATAAGCCCACATAAAATAAGCAATAAATTGATTAAAGAGAATAAATGAATAAATCTGCATGCCTGCTTTTATTAGTGAGCATATTAAGTGTCAGATAAAGGAGACACCATATAACAAGACTTTGCATTTAAATAGCCTTCAACAGAGCAAGGAATATGTTACAACTCTTTCCTCCTTTTACAGACTAACCAACAATTTCTGAAAACAGTAACAGAACAGAATATGGAACTAGAACAGCTACGCAAACAACTGAGGTACAAATCAGAGACCCTTTTAAATATACTGTTCTATCTTGTATTCCTTCTTGACTCATTACTTTATCATTGGCCTTGTCTTCATTACAAAGCTGTTACCGATAATTGTCTTTAGCAGTAGTCACAGTTCATCTTTAAATGTAGGTCAGAATAGATTCTGACAGAGCACATTTTCTGCTGATTGTTAAATCCTGCTCAGTGTATACAGTATACCATAGTGTGTGTGTGTATAATATTTTATCACATAGAAGATACTACTTCATATATTCACATAATTTACATATTAATTATATCTAGAGTTAAGCAAATTGCTGCTGTTGTCACCCACTGCACCCATTAATACTGTGTATGTTAAGCTTTAACATAGAGATAATCTTGGGGCTAGCTTTGAACATTTAGAGTCACATCCTCTGAGGTGCTCAATGCTCCCATTCACTTAAGGTGCTGAGCACTCTTTACTCCCATTTAGCAGGATTGAGCCCTAAGGACCAGCCAAATATTTTTATTAGCGTAGCATATTTGCACAAAACCTAGTTGTATGGGCAGTAAATCACATTGCAACTTCTGGGCTTCATGAAGTAGGAGTATTCAAAATACTCTGAACAACTTTAAAGTTTTATTGTATGACTAGGATAATTCTTGTTTGCTTCATGTATGTCATATACCATTGTGAGGTAAAGAGAATTATGTTTCTTAGGTATTATGGAATATAGAAAGGGATGAATCTTAAATTGTTCAGTTTCTTTCAGGGTCTGTTGTTTGTATGAACTCTGTGCTTTGTTCTCACCACCTCTTCCTCCTATTTTTAAGGGTGTTTTTAAGAATTTCAGGGAAATGATTGGATTTCCATGGACCACCCCACAGATTTATTTAGGCTTGTTCTGTTGTGGTACTGAACAGCCTGTTCGGGGTAGCATCTGAAGAAATATTTATGAGTTTATCTTTTCTGATAAGTCATAGTACTACAACATTTTCTTAAGTTATTGGCACGAGAAATTGACACAAGCCTCCAGTCCCACTGCTCTGCCTCCCTGCCAACCCTGCCCCCATATCCAGAAGCCAAAAAGGTGCTGTTTGTACCCCCGAGCTGGAGATGGTTGTGGACAAAAGTTTTATTGAATCTATCCTAAATTCAGTGGAATCCTCTGTTCTACCAAATTAGAATTTTCTTCTTCGAGTGATGGTCCCTGTTGTATTCCACTGAGGGTTATGCGCCATATGCCCAGAGTCAGAGCTTTTAGAAGTAGTAGTGCCTGCTGGTCCTCCTATGCATCTTTGGTCTGCCTCCCGGCTTCAACCGGGGGGATAAAGGGTGGGTTAGACCAGCTGCACCTTTGGTTCCGTCTCGCTGCTGTGTGGTCTGAATCAGAGCTTCTGCTGTTCTCCTGTCCATTGTGACACACTTTCAGGCTCTCTAAAAAGACTGTTTTATTCTTGTTTATAGTTGGCATTTTATTGTTTTTGTAGTAGTTCTTACTATTAGTAGTAGTTTTCTTAGGATTTAAGGACTTTCTGGCACTTCTTTGGTGGTTTTCTGCTTGCCTCCCAGAATCTCGGTACTGGATTATACCGAAGACACTAAGGTTCAAGATCTGTGCTTCCTGCCCTCGCTTGCAATCAGCGATGAGCACCAGTGCTGCTTGGGGGAAACTCACGTCGCATCCAGGTGCAGTATCTGCCTCTCCTTTCCTGCCCATACCTGGAAAGGCCAGGTTCTCCACCTCAAGAAGTGCCTCATCGAGGTCCCCATGACACCGCAGTCAGATCCATGCCAGGGAGCGCCCCCATAAATTGGCCTGAGCAATCAAGGAGTTTGTCTCCTATCCCAGAGCTCCAGTCCAGTTCCTCCAGTACCAGGACTACGGATCCGGTGCCAGGGTTTAGCTGTGAGGCTCAGAAGCATGTGCATGACCATGGCAGTAAGTCTTCCTCAAGACCTAAGAAAGACACTGCATCCTCCTTGAGTTTGAGCCACAGAGATGTGGCGTGTTCCAGGACCTACAAGCACAACAAGAAGTCGCATAAAATGTTGGACCTGCCGGTCCTGGTCGCTGAGCCTCAGTACTGCTGAAAACACGGGAATCACCTGTTCTGAGACAGGCTTCTGTCCTCGTTCTGGCTCTGGTTCTGTCTGTGGAACATGTGCTATGTACACCGGGAAGACTCGAATCAGCTCCTGGACCTTATTAACTGTTTGCCCTAGATAAGGTGAGATCCCTGCATCCTCTGCTACATTTGCCTCCAAAGAGACTCCACTCCCCTGCTTTAGACTTGCTGCCTTCGGGTCGTGTTCCCGAGCAGTCCCCTGTGACTCTCTCAGTGGCGGTGGCTCCACCATTTGAACAACGATCTGACTTCTCACCGTTGGAAGATTCAGATGGTGCACATGATCCACTGATGTGATGGCAAGAGTATCTGAAGGCTCCACCAGCCCAGTGGCAATATCACCCTTCCCTCAGCACAGGAGACATTGGTACCCAGCTGCATGGGTGGGTTGGCCATACTGGGGATCTTGGCCCCAGTATCCACCTTTGGAACCTTCCCAATCTGCCCATGAGGAGTCTGTCTCCTCCTCCTCCCCCCCCCCCCCCCATCTCACCACTCCAGCCTTCGGAACCGGGGTTGGAGGATGGATCGATCAGCCCGATGCCGACGGTACCACCAGATCTGGAGCAGTTTCCCTCCTCGTCACCAGAGGCAGCAGTGTCCTAGACTCCTTTCTCTTTCCTCCCCCGACTACTGCCAGTTCCAGGAGCTGTTAAAGAGGGTGGTTGAGGCCCTCCACATGCCACTGGAGGAGGTGCAGGACAGCCAGCATCAGCCACTGGACATTCTTAGTGCATCAGTACCAGCCAATCAATGATGCCATTCTCCCTCTGGGCTGCACTGTCTGGCATACCCTGGCAACTTGTGTGTCCACTCCAAAGAGAGCAGAAAAATGGTACTATGTACTGGTGAAGGGTCTGAGTTTATTTTCTCAACCCCCCCACCCAATTTCCTTATCATTTGGGCCATTACTGAGCAGGCCAGACATTAACACCCACGTTCCACTCCAACTGACAAGAAAGGTAAGAGGCTGGACCTTTTGGGTCCTAAGGTCTTTTCATCAGCCAGCCTTCAGTTTTTCATCTCTAATTATCTGGCATTACTTGCAAAGTATGACTTTTTGAATTATGGCGAGTTAGTGGAATTTGCGGACAAGCTTCCCCAGTAGGACCATGACAGTTTCCAGACTATTTTAGAGGAAGGCAGCATGGTTATACTATCAAGTTCACAATGCTATTTCATCCCCTGCCCCTGTCCCACCTCTGGGACGACTTGCATGATGGTGTCCTCTCCCTGGAGGTGGACTCCCCTCTACAGAGAGGGGCGATAGAGCCTGTGCCCATGACCTTTCAAGGTGCAGGGGTCTACTCCGCCTACTTCTTGGTATCCAAGAAAAAGGAAGGATGAAGACCAATCCTAGATCTCTATAGTCTCAATCACTTCATACGTAAGCCCAAGTTCCGTATGGTCACGCTCACAGCCATCATACCCTCGCTAGAAAGAGGCATGTGGTTTACAGCTCTCAATATGCAAGATGCTTACTTTCACATAGATATTCATCTGACCCACAGACAATTCCTGAGGTTTATAGTGGGCCGTTGGCACTTCCAATGCAGGGTTCTACCGTTCGGACTTACCACCGCTTTCTGGGTCTTCACCAGGGTCTCTGGTGGTGGTGGCCTGTGATGTTATATGATTTAAAATATGATCATGTAGATCATTGTTGCTACCACTGTTATATAATTGCAAAAAATCTTGTATAAAACATGTCATGTAAGGTGTCAATGGAAAAGTTATGTATTGCTGAATGATTATCCTATTTGTATGCATGTATTATTTTTGTCTCTAAAGTTATGAATATTGACTATGTGTTTGCTCCTGTGGTAACACCCACAAGGTAGTTTACAACTAGTCTAGCCAGCACATTGTGAATGGACTATTCAAGTTGATGGCCCATCAGTGAACACAATGGGCCGTGAAAAAAGCTTATCCCCACCTGATGCGCTTTCCTGTGGATGGTCTAGCCTGAATATGGTAATGGACCCTGCTATGAGTCATTGAAGCATGCAAGGGCATGTGACCAGTTCATGTGACACTGGACTCCATCTTGTGCCTGTATTTTTTCCACTGACTGAACTGAGAGCAAACCCACCATATGGCAGAAAATATAAAGTCCCCTGGAAACATCTCCATTTTGCCTTTTTCCTGCTCTGATCTCTGTACTATCGACATAGGACATTCTAACCAAGGGACTGAGGAGTTTTCAGTCTTCTGGAAGCAACCAGAGACTTGACTTAAGCCAGCAGTTTTTCATTATTGCTTTAAACCTTATCCAAGAACTTTGCAATTATTGTATGTATTTGATTTCTTTAATCAATTTTAACTCTCACCTCTTTCTTTTCTCTTATAAATAAACCTTTAGATATGTTAGATATTAAAGGATTGGCAACAACATGATTATTGGGTAAGATCTGAGTTAATATATTGACCTGGCTATGTGGCTGGCCCTTTTGGGATCAGAAGAACCCTTTGGTTGATGGAATTGGTTTTAAAAAACCATTCATCATTAAGTCTAGTGTCTGGATGGTGAATCCAGGGCTAGGATACCTAAGGATACTGCATTTCTGACTTCTATCAGCCAGCATGGTGAGACAGAAGTTTATTTTTGTTGATGGTTTGGTATATCTTATGGTATATCTTATGGAAGAATAACCATAACCACCGGTTTTGGGATGTCTTTGCCCTATTCTCAGTTGTGACCACTGAGGCACAGTGACACTACTTATCTCCGGTGTCAATGGGTCCTCATCTTCCCTTATCTTGAAAACTGACTGGCTGCTGGCAAAGCAGTCCAGACACGAGGCTCAAGTATTGACTTCTCTTCTGTTTCTACCCCTCTCCTCATAGGGGGTGAGTGTAAACATCAAAAAATTGACATTGGACCCTACACAGTCCCTGGAGTTCATCCGCGCGTGCTTCGATGCAGTCTCCGCACGTGCCTACCTATCACTGGACAGGTTCTTGACCCTGCTAGAATGGATTGCTTCTGTGACCTTCAATCCTTCGGTTCTGTTCGGAACTTGTTCTTCCCTTTTTGGCCACATGTCATTGTGCACATACATCGCTGCCTTCGCTCATCTTTGCTTCCGCTGTCTACGACTGTAGCTACACTGAACTCATTCTCCAGTGCTCCCCTCCATGTCGTTCTCACCTCTCCCCTCCCAACTTAAGTTCTTTTTTCCTTTTCGTGGTATCCTAGAACTTCATGCAGTATGGAGAGCATGAAGCACATTTCTCCCACCCATTTGCTCCTAACATGGTCTCATCATGTCAGTCAACATCACTATAGTTTACTACTGTCAAGGTTCCTTCCCCACTCTGAATGCTAGGGTACAGATGTGGGGACCTGCATGACAACCTCCTAAGCTTACTTTTACCAGCTTAGGTTAAAATTTCCCCAAGATACAAACTATTTTACCTTTTGCCCTTGGACTTTCGCTGCCACCACCAAACGTCTAACCGGTATATTATTAGGAAAGAGTCCATTTGGAAACGTCTTTCCCCCCCAAAATCCTCCCAAAAGTTACCCCCACCCCTTCCTGGGGAAGGTTTGATTAAAAATCCTCACCAATTTGCATAGATGACCACAGACCCAAACCCTTGGATCTTAAGAACAATGAAAAAGCAATCAGACTCCTAAAAGAAGAATTTTAATAGAAGAAAAAGTAAAAAGAATCACCTCTGTAAAATCAGGATGGTAAATCCCTTAGAGGGTAATTGGATTCAAAACAAAGATAATCCCTCTAGGCAAAACCTTAAGTTACAAAAAGACACAAAACAGGAATATCCATTCCATTCAGCACAGCTTATTTTCTCAGCCATTTAAAGAAATCAGAATCTAACGCATATCTAGCTAGATTACTTACTAAGTTCTAAGACTCCATTCCTGTTCTGTCCCCGGCAAAAGCATCACACAGACAGAGAGAGAGAGGCTTTGTTTCTCCCTCCCCCAGCTTTTGAAAGTATCTTGTCTCCTCATTGGTCATTTGGGTCAGGTGCCAGTGAGGTTATCCTAGCTTCTTAACCCTTTACAGGTGAAAGGGTTTTTCCTCTGGCCAGGAGGGATTTTAAAGGTGTTTACCCTTCCCTTTATATTTATGACAACTACATAAACAAACAAGGAGGCATGAGGTCTCCAGCACTTTTTGTGCGGAAGCAGTTCACCTCTGGAAATGGTGCATCGCATATGGAAATATGGCTAGGGACCACACTTATTGAAGAATCTCCAGTTACAGATAAGTAACCTCCTCTTGTGAAGGCCAGTTCTACTTATAAATCTATGAAAAATCAGTTTGCACATGCTCAGTGATACTTCTTAGCTTTTAGCTGCTAAAATCTCCAAAAATTCCATCAGCACTGGGCATGTTTGTCTTTCGCAGTTCCTTGTGCTGACCAGACTACACATATGCCATGCCCCAGCTTAAAACTACAGGGAAGAAAAAAGACTTTCCCTGTAATGGTTGCTTTCAGCTGCTCTGGGTAGGGGCTAGGCATTGGAACTGAGAACAGGGAGCCTGTCTCCCACCTGGCACCCAGGTAATGTGGAGTAGGAAGCCATCTGATTTAAATGCAGAGGGGACAAAAGCCAGACCTGGGGAGAGGGAAAGGAGTAGGTTAGGACAAGGAGCCTGGAGAGACTGAGAGCCAAGCGGGTTAGGAGGCTGAAACTGGTTGGGCAAGGAAACTGGCACTGGGAGACAGGGGGTAGGAAGGGGAGACAGAGAAGCAGCAGAGTTGTGGGGGTGGAGTGGGACCTGGGACTGGCTGGGCAAAGAGGCTGGGACAAGGACCCAGGGAGGGGGACACAAGCAACTTTAATTCTGGCATTTCCTTACTTTAGAATGTGTGACTTTGCAACCTTAGTGTTTTTTCAGTATCGTTTATTTGTGTGTAAGGTTCTATGACCAGTGTAAACTTAGCCCAGCACACTGGGGGGGGCAAAGGAAGAAGGAATCTGTGTTGTTTCCCCTGTCCCAGGTCAGGGTAATAGCAGAGTTGCTTCATTCATTTCCACAGGGGAAAATGGCATAACTGCCATCCTCTGGCCCTGTTCCGGTTTATGTTCCCCTTCCTACACCATCCCAGCCAAACCTATTTACCTTCTGAAGCACGTTGAAATTTTTGAAAACGACTAATGATTTGGGGTGCCCAGTTCAGAACACCTTAAAGGGGGGCCTGATTTTCAGAAGGTCCTGAACATCTACCTTCTGAAAAACAAACCCCTTTAAAATGTCTCAAGTTGAGTACTCAAAAATTTGAGGAGCCTAAAATCATAACTCACTTTGGAAAATTTTGGCCACTGAGTCATCCACAAACCTGTATTCAACAGTATAATGGCATATGTACCTCCTCTTTGGTGTCCTCAGAATCTCTTCCACATAACAGACAATGGCTGCTGCTGTCTATATGTGAAAAGTTTTGCTGGTATGGTGTAAACGTCATGGCTGTTCTTATAAAGACCTGTTAAGTTGGGTTTTGTTTTTTTTCCACATTCAGCTAACTGTAATTAATTGAGTGATTTCTTTATATTCAGGCAAGCCAAAGTAGATGTGAGAACAGCAACTGCTAAAGTTGATGAAATGACCAAATTGTTAGTGGACCTTCAAGCCCAGATGGAGAGAAAGGTATTGAAAGTTTTAGTGATTATCCTGTTGCAAACATGAAACTTAAATTAACTTAAAATTGTTTGTTTCCATATCATGCATCTCAAGCACAGTTCAGAAAAAATGTCTCAGTAATTGCTATGATTTTCAGGAAGAAGATGTAGTATCTGCTCAGGAGAGAGAGGAAGCGTCAGACAAACGCTTGCAGCAATTGCAATCTAGCATAAAACAATTGGAGACGAGGTAAAGAGATGAATGATGCCATTGAATGTGATTGATGATAATTTTAGAAGTGACATGAAAGCAGAGGTTTTCTTCTAAATATCTGAGTTCCATAATTTTGAGTAATCAAGTTCTCTATTTCTTATGCAGATGATATTTATCCTAGATTACTCATTATATTTTATCTGCTTCATTTCCCTACCCGCTCAGAGTCGCCTCTGGCTTCCTTTTTCTCACCTGAGTAAAGACTAGAGGACCACAAATCACTCGATCTCACTTATGTCGTAGTTTTGCCAGTGACTTACCAGTCTGTCCAAGTTTCACAAATTTTATTTACATTATCTGGAGTGGCACTGCTAAAGCCCCAAACATCAGTTTGAAAGTATTCCCTTGAATTGACCACCTTTGGGATGCATTCAGCCGCCTTCTACATTAAGACAAGTAAAAGCTGTTTCAAGTATCCGTTTGGAACTCTTGAGACTAGTAAGGACACTATAACAGCACACTAAGGTAAACTTTTTTCGGTGGTAAACGTCAGTGATAAAGATTTATTGAATATCTAATAAAGAGGATATGCTTTCAATTATAGCATTACCTGCTAATATACTTGAGGACGTCTAAGGGTTTCCATTACAATGTCTTTTCTCTCCCTTGTCCCTTTTATTGCCAAGGAGATAATTTGGCTGAACAAATTAATTCTGGGCCAAAATTTTGCACTAAATTGTTTTAACCATCAAACGTTTGTCAGATGACTTGATAACTGGATTTTCTTATTGAAGTATTTATAGCTCTTCTGAGGTGATTGTTTCTAACAGATTCACATTTCTTTGTCCCTGCTTCATGAGTGTGACTAGAAGAATCTAGCAAAAAGCCAGTACAAGAGCACTGGCCTACTTGTAACAATAGGGGCTCTTATTGCCTTGAAGTGTTGCACAAGTTGAAGTGCTTTACAGTGGCTTTCAAGAACTTTTGCCTGAACTAGGCATGGTAGTCTCTTTTTATTTGTTTGAAACTGGACCCAAAGTGATCCCCCAGCCATAGTTAATATAATGGTTTTTTTGTGTCCATATATATTTTGTCTTGTAAATATCCAAAAATAAATAACTTGGCTGCTTCAAAAACTACTCTAGGTGTAAATGCAAAATGTTGATTACAATCCATCATTACCATCACCTTTAATGCCTAATCTGAGCCCAACTACATTCCTGAGTATGCATCAAAGTCTGTCTCTCTCCTGTCTTCCCTCATGCCAACCAATAAAGTAAATCATGTTCCAGCAATAAGACTATTTAGAGCTAGTATAAAACTACAAGCCCTTTCTCAGTGCTCATGCAATTCTGTGTGTGCGTACATACACACAAAGCATTGCATCAGTACTGGGAAAAACCTGGTCGTTTTACAGTTGCTCTAGCTCAGTGGTTCCCAAACTTGTTCCACTGCTTGTGCAGGGAGAGCCCCTACCGGGCTGGCCCAGATTGTTTACTTGCCACATCTGTGGGTTTGGCCGATCGCGGCTCCCAGTGGCCGTGGTTCACTGCTCCAGGCCAATGGAAGCTGCTGGAAGCGGCAGCCAGTACATCCCTCGGCCTGCGCCACTTCCAACAGCTTCCATTGGCCTGGAGCAGCGAACTGCGGCCACTGGGAGCCGCAATTGGCTGAACCGGCGGAAGCATCAGGAAAACAAACTGGCCCGGCCTGCCAGGGGCTTTCCCCACACTAGCGGCAGAACAAGTTTGGGAATCACTGCTCTAGCTAGTATTATTGCTTGAACATGATTGACATTGATTGGCATAAGGGAGTGCAGGAGACAAAAGGTTATATGTTATGTAAAAATGTATAATGCTGTTTGTTTAAGGTGTACCCATTCCTTTTGTTTAATATGTGGTGCTAGAACCATTTGGTAGTGGTATAACAAACTGACTTGCCTTGGCAAAGATTATGATTTAAGGTGGGTAGTAAGTATCAAAAGAATTGAAAAAAACAAATGGCAAATTATAGCACAAGCCTGCAACCCAGTATAGGTATCTCTGAATAGCAGTACCCTTCTCATTTTAATTATATGCAAAATGTTCAAAGTTAACTCCTTTCATTCTATTTCTGTCTGGGACAGTGATGGAAGATTAGGATGACATATTTAAAAAATGAGACTACCAGAGAATTTAAACATCATAATTTACAAGTAAATTTGTACTCTCTATATATGAGAACAACTAGTTTGCAAGAGTGAAAGTGTTTTTAGCAAGTTGCAAGTTCTACCAATGAGATCTGAGTGTTCGGACTTTCTAGATTATGTGTAGCTGTACAAGACTCTGAACAGTTGAGAACAGAAAGGACTGCTCTAGAAAAACAAACTAGAGAGCTACAGGCAAAGTGTGCAGATCTAGAAGAGGAAAAATATGATGCTATAGTAAAAGTCCGAGACAGCATGCAACTCTTAGAAGAAGCTAACCTACAAAAAAATCAGGTAAGACAAGGCATCAAGACACATTCTTTACTGCATCATTGAATATTGGAAGTTACTATGGGCCTGTTCTCATGACAAAAATTTATCCAGGGGGCTCAGTTACAACGCAATTGCCTCCTGACCCTATTGCAACATGGTTTATTTTTACTGTGTAAAGGACCTAACTGTGATGTAACTATTCTAAAGCCTGTTTTGTGTAGTAGACAGTCCAAAGCTTTAGCAAGGCACCCATTCCACTATCATGTTAACACGCTCAAAAATGTGGAATTGAGACAGGCCCCAGTTTTTCTAACTAGATAATGTATGGAAAGGAAATCCAAAAAAAGAGTGAAGAATTTTAACAGGTATACAAAAGGGAAATGAAAGTACAAGAACTGAAATAAATGGAAGCGGCAAAAGAAAAGTCGGGAAACTGAGCAAAGAATGCTGGAGATAAAGATTTGAAAGTATTTATCTCTTCTGTGTTTTACAGGTCTATTTTAGGTATGCAAATTGTCACCAGGACCTTAGTTGTTGCCAGAAAACTTGTTTCTTGTATTCTGAGCATGGGTTATTCCTCATTGTCCCCCAGTTAAAAGTTTCTGAGAATCTTCTTGCTACTTTGTATGAGTTCCACCATTTTTCTTCCTTATAACCCCTCGTGATCAACACTGAAGTGTTCGTTTGTTGTGCTAAGATTTTATCTAAAGGGACATCCTTTGAGTAGTTGTCTCAAGTTGCAGTGGGGGAGGTTTAGGTTGGATATTAGGAAAAAGTATTTTACTAGGAGGGTGGTGAACCACTGGAATGGGTTACCTAGGGAGGTGGTGGAATCTCCTTCATTAGAGATTTTTAAGGTCAGGCTTGACAAAGCCCTGGCTGGGATGATTTATTTGGGGATTAGATCCTGCTTTGAGCAGGGGGTCAGACTAGGTGACCTCCTAAGGTCCCTTCCAACCCTGATATTCTATTATTCTGTTCTCACATATCAACTGGTTGCATTGAACTGGCTTGCAGAAAGCATATTTGCTGCAAAGTAACAGTCACCCATTCTCATGTCCAAGTTTATTGCCTTCCTGACATGCTTGAGTTCAGATAACCAATAGAATGAAAAGTTCAACACAGTTACCTAACTTTTTTGTATCGAACAGTGGTATTCTGATGCCATTTTGCAAGCTATCATTTCTTTTTCTGTTTACTAAAGATTGTCATCACTGACATTTTTTTTTAATGAAAGAACACACTATTTTTATTAAAGGTAATTGTAGTTACAGTATTTCATATTTTTTTTCTAGGCCCTGCTCCGAGAGAAGCAAAAAGAAGGGGAGATAGAAAATATGAAAGAAGCAATTTCTCAGCTTGTACAAGATGCTGCTGCAAGAACTAAAAAGGAAGTATGTTATCCTCTTACAGCCCACTCGTCTGCATAATTTCCAGTGCTAGTTGAATTAGTGTAGTTTGAATAAACATTTTTTTTATTTACTTCTTAAAACACTGTATAGCAAATTCATGATAATTTCAGCAGTGTATCAGTCTGTTCTTCATTGAGTATGTAGTAGTGTGGATCCCAGTGTAGGTGGACATGCACCCAGTATGTGAGAGAGCAAATTTTTTTATTTGCAGTGTCCATCAGGGCCACACATGTGCCCTGTGCCATCTTATGCTCTCATGTGAGGGAATAAAGGGTGGTGCAGATTTCTCAATTCCCTCTTACTGCTTGTGGTAGCAAGACGGAACCTGGTGAGTGTCCAGTCCACTAATTCTTAGCTCAGACTAAACTTCTACACGTGTTCAAGAAAATCTTCCGAACTGTTTATCTTCTCTGTTGACTACAATGAACTGTCTCCATCCATCTGAACAGAACTCTACCACTAGATCACCCCTTCTCGCGCCCATACATAGACCTCTCTGTACTGAGCTCATTAGCTCATGGTGAACTCAAAACCTGCATGCTTTAAGTCCTGTCTATCCTGCGATGGACTAATCCCCTTGAAAGATGGGCACATCAGCTGTGTCTTCTGTTAGAGGGAATCTCGAGCAGATTATGAGTCTGTTTATCATTCTCTGTGAGAACACTTAAGTCATGGGATGTGAGGCTAAAGCTCCATCTTCTGGAACAGTCCATGAAGGTCTCATTACACACTAAGGATACAATCTCCAGAGTGCTGCTGGCAGAAAAGCTAGCTTCACCCAGTGCCCCACCTAATAGACAAGCAACACTGAAGAAGGCAGTGCTAAGGTAAGAGCCAGCACCCACACCGCTGATGTCAAAGTCTGGCCACGTCAAACACAAAAGCATACTCAAAGCAGAGCTCAGAGTCCTATAATGACAGACATTACTGGCTTGCCCTACCACTGGCTCAGGGATCAGCTACCACCAGATCCTCAGGAATGGCACTGGATGAACCAATATTCAGCAAGATAGCTATATTTCTAAAGCCTTCACGTTCCTCTTAGGGGTACTGGGGCCTATCATTTCAAGCCCTGAGAAGCAGATGTCCAGCCCTCTTGAGAAAGGTGATGTTGTCATTTGCCCTTCTCCCCGCAAGCATTCGTGGCCAAGACCATCTTCACCACCATACCAGGAAGAGCTGGATCCAGGGACAGAGTTGCACCAAATGCCCTGTTTTCATTGCCAAAGGACTTTCATCTTCATTACCAGATGAAGCAGTATTCTTTGGACCAGATGATTTTAAAGTGTTCCAGGAGCTCCTTGTGGGGATTACTGAGACTCTGGATATCAAGACCTTGGCTGTATCAGAGGAATCCTACAAGCTGTTTGACAGCTTGTCAGCTTCTGGTCTAGCCAGGATCTTCCTCCCCATAAATGCTCAACCCTGCCAGTGCCCAGAGGCAGACACTGGCCATGATAACACCCATTGCAAAATTAGTCAAGAAGGGGTGGGATTTGAGTACTATTACGCTTCCCCAATTCAGGCTTCTTAGTAGTGTCAGTGAGACACAAAAAAAAGTTGAAGTAAAGTAAGAGGACTCACAAGGACCCCCAAAAGTTTTAGTCTTAGCCTACTGCAGCTACAAGTAGCTTACTTCCAGACCTTACTCGCCAAATATCACTTCTAACATGGGACGGGTGACATGCTTCCTGACAAAGCTCCTGCATGAAAGCAGTGAGGAACTTAAACATAATTAAGCAAGGTCAACTAGTGACCAAGACAGCCCTACAGGTCATGGTGGGCACTTCTGATGCAGCGACCAGGTGTGTGACAGCCATTGTGACAATTGCCATTCATCATGGCTTCAGGCACAGGGCATCCCAAGAAAGGTATAAGTCACAATCGAGGACTTGCCATTACTGGCAGAGACTGCTTGCTGTGGGTTCAGGAGAGTCTCATACAAAGCAGGAAGCCTTCTATCAACAAGACTTATTTCTTGAAATGGAAAAGATTTTTCCATGGTTACATCAACACTGCAAAAAAACAAAACAAAAAAAACCTAACCAAACCTGCGGCAGCATGTCTCATAACCCACGTCTACAGAGTTGAGCTTGCAGGGTTCTCACAGGGTGAGAATGACAAGTGGGTGGACATTCCAACTCATGCTCTTAAACCTGGTAAGGGAGTGGGTCTCAGAGCCCAGGTTCCACTCCAAGCAGGAGCAACTACCCGGTATTTTATTTATTTATTTTTTCCTCCCCAGAGTAGACTTACCCTGTATGGGTGGCTCAAAACAATGTCAACCTAATGGAGGCCCCAATACTGAAGATCCTTGACTATATGCCATTCCTGAAACATGTGGGACTAGCATTTAACTCTCTGAAGTTTCACTTGGTGGCAATATTGGTGTGTTGCACTTGAGTACTTTTGTACTCTGTCTTCTTATATATAAAGGTATCAGAATTCCTCAAGAGTCTCCTTTATACCTGTCCTCTCCTGGGATCTTAATGTTGTCCTAAAACTCCTGAACTCTCCCTTTGAACCACTATAGAAGTGCTCGCCTTACCATCAAGACTATCTTTCTTGTGGCCATCACTTCAACTTAGTGAGCTCCAAGCCCTTATGGCTGAACCAGCTTTCCATCAAGACAAGGTAGTGCTGAAATCCATATCCAAAGTTCATCTGTAAGTGGTCTCTGAATGAATTTCACCTGAACTAATGAATTACTCTACCCATTTTTGTTGCCAAGGGCACACTTGATGCCATGAGAAAAGAAACTGCATACTTTCAACATATCTAGAGCTTTGCTTTATTACCTTAACAGGACCAAGTCTTTAGGCTGTCTCCATTTCTCTGTGGCCCTATCTGGCCTGAAAAAGGCCAAGACTTCTCATCCTAGAATCTCCAAACAGATCACGCAGTGCATTTCCACCTGATATCAGATGGCTGGCAAACCTCTTTTTTTCAAAACATCGAGACACTCTGCACCAGGGCACAAGCAGCAGCATCTTCCTGCATAAGAAACATTTCAATGTGAGAGCTGCAATATGGAGTAACCAGTGACTTGTTTTGAACATTTAAGCTCGTACCCCATGGCAGCCAGGTCAGAAGCCAAGTTCAGGAAAGCAATACTGCAGTCTATTTAACTGACTGACTGTAGCTGAAACTCCTCACTCCCACCATCGGAGGACACTGCTTGCCAGTTACCTGCAGTGGGATCCACATTGACTACAGCATCTCAAAGAATGGTTGTTTAATACATTGTTCGTGTGGATCCCACTGTCCGCCCTCTGTCCCCACTTTTCAGAATCCACAGCTACTTAGAGTTTTGAGTTGAAAGGGACCTGAGGGAGGGTTATGGTCACTGTCCTTTATGATCTTGCATGGGAGAATGAGGCAGCACAGGGCACATGTGCAGCCCTGACATACACTATTAAAAATAAAATCTTGCATACATGAGGCACATGTGTTTACAAATCCATGCAGACTGTCACATCTCAAAGAACCACAGTTGCTGCAGGGTAGGTAACTGTTCTTTTCATTTTGAAGTATTAGTAAGCCCTGAACAACTATAGCAGACTCACTTGGATAAGTAGAAATCTTGAACTGAATAATGTGCCTAGAGGCAGTGGGGGAGCAAGGCTGCTATTTTAGGAGAAAGTGGCCTCTCCTCCCATTCTGCTGGTGAGAGGTAAGATGTGTGAGGGGAAAGAGAGAAGCATTTTGATGAGAGGGTGGTGCAGGCTGGGAGATAATGAATGAAGAAAGTAAATGAAGTAAGGCAGTTATTGACTATAGAGGAGAAGGAATGCATGGGAGAGACTGCACTTGTAACTGTTTAAATTTGAGCTCTGCCATTCATTCATTCATTCATGTCACACACACACAATGATCTGTAAATGTTCTGTGATATGATCTTGTAAAGAAATAGCTCTTTTGGTGCCCACTTTCTGTTTCTCCAGAGTTAGAGAATGTGTATATTAAAAATGTTACATAGAGGGATTTTAATGAAATAGGGTTTGAGTATAAAAAGCAACAGAGAATGAAAATACGTTCACTTTTTTCTAGTATGTTTAACTAATGATAAAATTTAGTAGTTTTTTAGCAGGGGACTACAAAAATGAGATTTGACTAACATCCATCCTGCACAGTCAAGGATATAAGCATGTTTTAAAAAATCCCCAAGACAGCCAGTGGCATTTGGACCGTGGCTTTTTTCCATCTCTCATTACATATATATTTAATGTTGATGGGCTGCTAAGAAAACTTTTTCAGATCGCTTTGTCCACTGTCTTTCGTGTAGTAATCATTAGCTGGGCCAGAACCCCAAACATACCTATCAGATATTTGGAAAACTACTTCCTCAGCTATTTTCTTTTTTTGTGAAGAAGCTTATAAACACTGCTCTAGTTCTCTGTGATATACTACTGTTATTTCAATCTATTGATTTTTTTATTTTGGGTGTTCAATTTTGTTTTAATTCACCTTGGATACATATTTGAGACAACTGATTCTATCCTTTTTAAAAGAAATCTTTTAAATAAGTGTACAAACAAGCAACGTCTTCAACTACTTTTAGGAATGATTTCAAATTTTTTTTTTTTTTTTTTTTTTTACTTCACACCTACTTTTTAACTACAATGTTTGTTTAATAAAATGTAGCTTTGCAGATATATCATTCTTATGGTAAACTGGTGGCCTTAACTGCTAAAAAGATACATTATTTAACTGAAAGACTATACAGAGCCTGCATGAGCAGCTACATTTCATAACTCTGTCTCATTCATATATGTCCATCTAGGTCATACACACACATTCTGAGTATATATAATACCCATGCATTTTATCGTATACATATTATGAAATGTAAGTGCCATCCATATTCAAAAAAGAACTGCATCTTATGCCCAAAATGTCCAAAACACTTAATCCCCACGTAATTTAGCCTGTATCCCAAACAGACTCAACAATAGGTGGTGCCAGTCATTTTTCAGCTTTGT